AGAGTTGAAATTGTTATTGTCTCCATTTTGATAATTTCAGTTATGTTAGACATATTATTATTATATTCCATTTGGTCGACAGAAGAACAATATTTAATAGGAGATATACAAGGAATCTCGGCCACGAGGTTGCTTTATTTTTTATAAAAATCAAAATGTATTATATTCTAAAATGGTTGGACCTTGAATTCCAAATTATTCAGATTAAAATGAGTTTTTTCTACTTAAAGATACCTTCCCGCGTACAAACTGGGTGATTTAATGAAAATATATTTGCTGTAAAAACATATTCAAACTAATTAATCTATCAAATCCTTCTCAAAACATTGTATTTTTGAGGAAATACCCCAAGCTATAAAAAATCTGTATCACATGACTTTGCTGTTGCGGTACCTAGCAACATTGGCAAAGCCGGCAGAGAATTCATTGCATATAAAAGACGATGTTGTCTTTAATTGCTGTCCATTTATCATAAATATCTAAGCCTCATTAAATTCTCAAATTATCCATGTTTTTTGTCCGTGTTTTTTTATCTCAGAAACTGTTGTACGTTTAAGTTTCTCACTTTTTCCTAGTCCACTTTCGATATATATCAAAATTGCAATACTTTTATTGACAATAACCACCTGATAAATACTTTTGTGGGAAAGTATCTTTAAACAAATATTTAACTTCAATATATTATTATTGGATGGCGTAGTAATACGACAGGTTCGATAGAAGTGGAACCTAATTTTATAAATTTAATTTTATTTGAATATTTGATTTAAAAGATGTTTATTTTTTCTATTTTATTTGTTTGTTTTAAATGAAGAAAGTGAATACAATCGGAGATAGAATGTCTTGCCTAATGAATTTAAGTTCTGATTGACTAGGGATATATTTTGTGTTATGATGATATATTTTATGAATAAAGGGAGGTAATTATGTGTCCTGTAATGGGATGGGGTGGGGGAAGTGTTATGTATATTTATAGTATTGTTGAGGCAAAATCATTAACTTGAATGTGACAAAGAGTAGGGTCGTCTGTCCAGCCTTGTGGGTTGTCTCCGGTTTCCTCCGCGTTGAAATAAAATTGAGCCATAAGTTAGTCTCAATATTACCTAGTTTGTGTCGAATGGACGTTAAACCCTTTTTGTCTCTCTCTCTCTCTCTCTGTTAATAAAGAAACCTTTTTATTAATAATGGAGAGAGATTTTATTGTCCTTGTGCAAAATCTTGCAAATTAATTGAGTTATTATTGAACTTGTTTTCTTAAAAAGCTAGGTATGCTGTTCATTCTGGGGGTTTTCTTTTTGATAAATTTTAAATAATAATGGTGCTGTTATTAGCAAGAGTTCCTTTCATTTGTTCATGACTGGAAGGGAAATTGTTCGACTTACAGGCAGTGAAATTAGAATCTAAGTCACTTTTTCAACGAACCCCAGTTAATGGCGCCATCTGGTAGCAAATTGTATAAGCATTCTGTGGAACAATCTATGTTAGGTAAAAACGATCAGAGTCCCATCGAACCTAGGTCCTTCTGAAATGGCCTCCCGGACAAATACAAGTCCATCGTACCCTTTATTTGACCTTAATTTGGCTGAAAAGTTGAAGTCAGTTGTTGTACTGGTAATTATGATTCGTATTAAACATCATTTTGAAGTTGTAATCAAACCCACTCGTTCTGTTCGCGTCAAGCATTCTCGTCCAAAAGTCTGTTTTGCCTTTTATGCGCAAAGACAAAAATGTGACTTAGATCGTTCTTCCCCTGGACTCTTCACTTGCTTAGTATACATTCAAGTTTATTAAGCTTTTTCATATAGAGAATTAAGTGCTATAGACTTTTAGACAAGTTTATCCAGACGTTTAGATAACATATCCAGTCTTTGAATATTTATCCCAGATAGGTGTAGATAAAAAATGATTTACATTTTAAGTATGGGAGAACCTTTTTACAGAATGGGATATTAGTTTAGTTTGTGTAGCTTAATTATTAAAGTCACTGTGCGTCATTTGAATTTATTGAGAAATATCCAATTTTCCATGACAAAATTGATTATTTACCGTTAAAACCAAATTATTAGAGGTAAATAATCTTACGGCTTGTGAAAAACTAAAAAAGAGCCCCATTAAACGATTTTACTCAAAATTTATAGGTGGTACTAGCCCACTGTATGGCATATATGCCCGTCTTCATTAGCTCAGTTGAAGCAGACCAGTAGGAGTTAAACAAACCATGTAACATGGACAGGAAATCTTCCTTTGTTCTTTTTGTTGAATAAGCAGATTGTTTTCCCTCTAGTAGATTGGGTGGAGCTTAACCAACTAGACATGTTCAATGTTATTGCACACTTTTGCTGGTTTACACTAGTTTTAGTAGAAATCATATAGAGAAATGGGGTGGGTTTTCTGTGCAATAACAACAAGCATGTTGAGCAGTTGTCGATGTTACAGGTCATTTATAGCACGCTTCATTCGTCAACAGGTTTAACCCCTCGACCTTCGGCCTCTGGTTAAACCTGTTAACTCATGAAAGCCGTGCTATAAATATAACATGTTCATCCGTCGGTCAAGTGACGTGCAGAGTCCATATTTGAGAATTTATTGTTCCAGTTGTATTGTGTTAATTTGATAAATATATAAGAATAATAAATCGTCAATAATTTCAGGTTCTCTACTTTTACATTTTTGGAATTTTAAAATATTTTGTTTGTTATTGGGTTGTTAATTGTCAAAACTTTCAATGCAAAAAAAAAATTTTTTTATGTAAATTGTAAGATGTATTTCAAGTGAATGATTTAAATAATAATAGTCTGTTTATAGTGCACACAATATCCATGCAAGGGCATGCACAAAGCGCTGTCCAAAAATGATAACTAGCAAGATACTATAAACTATTTTTTTATAGATAGCACTGATTATTCCTGATCGCAGGATATCTTAAACTGTGTAGCGCTGATTATTCCTGATCACAGGATATCTTTAAACTGTGTAGAAAATTTGTTTTATTTTACTGATATATGTTTTAATTTACCTTTTAGTTGACATAGATTTTATTACCATTAAAGATAATAATTAAATATAATGGTGTTCATTTTTTGTCCCTTGCCTTTAGTAGAAACAAATGAAATCGGGGTTTAACGTCCTACTGTTCTGCTCCGAACTGGGCTAATGAAGATGGCATACGCCATACAGTGAGCTATGAGGGAAATTTTGCCCGAACAGCGGCACTACATCCTACTCTTGAATCGAATTCCAACTGTCAAGGGATCTTTTATGTGCACGCCAATGTGTACACGGGACCTCGGTTTTTCGTACCATCCGAATGAGTAGACAGCTGTCCTTGTCAGCCCCCCCCCCTCTTGCGTTCGATCTATGCATTGTCCGAGAAAGTTCACCGGGATTATTCGGCGTGGTTCCCACTTGTCAGTGGTGCAGGACAGAGGGCCTGGCAAGGCACAACGTATAGTCAGTCGTTCAGATGGGATGAAAAACCGAAGTCCTGTGTACACATTGGTGGGCACTAAAAGATCTCTTGGCAGATGGAACTCGAAATAAGAGTAGGCCGTAGCACCGCTATCCAGGCAAAATTTCCCTCATAGCACACGGTGTCTTCATTACCCAGTCAGAGCAGAACGGTAGGACATTAAACCCCATTTCTATACGAGAATCAAGTGGCCTTACCCCTCAACTACCGTGACTCAACAGCAACTGGTAAAAGGAACCTCATTAATTTCCATTTGATAAGAACAGCAATGAGAGAGAAATGGGATGTAACGTCCAATCGCACAAACTAGCGGACTTCAGGACAATAATTCACTTATGTGTAGGTATCTTTTAGTAGCGGAGGAAACATGTGAACGGATGGGCTGGTGACCCTACTACTCGTCACGTACAAGCTCAGGTCGAAACCGTGCCACTTGACACGATGAAAGACATTATGATGTAAAGAGCACATGTTAGAGAGCACTAGAAAAGAAAAAAACTGTGGTATTTTATGTTCAGAAAATGTTTGATTTTATTTCTGATAAAAAGCATTTTAAACATAACAATAATATATGTTGGCCTATTTTGCTTATAAAAATGCACCGCTGGGAAATCACGAGGAAGTAACATTAAAGATGTTGGTGTCTTCATTTTTAACCATATCTTGAAGATTTATTATATAGAGCGAAGTGCGGTGCTTGAGCAAAGCTCTTTTCCGGTAACACAGGAGCGTAATTGAAAATGTCACCCACAGACTGTTGATTTAGAAAAAATTCAGACCAGACGCGGATACACTGGGCAAAACAGGCAATGTGCATGTCAACTTACCAAATCTCGACCAAACGAGATCACGTAACTAACAAAAATAATTCTACACACCAAATCTCGCCCAAGCGAGATTACGCGCCTCATAGAGCTATTTCTATGACGCGTCTAATCACTGACGTCACATATTTTTTACGTCAATGAAAATAATTCTCACACTTTTTTGTTCTTTTTTTAAAGACAAAATTAATGTTAAAATTTAGATCTAAATAAAAATCAATTTTGAAAAACTAAATTATTTAACATTTTTTGTATCACTTGAGAAAAATTAATTATGAAGGTTTTATATTTGACAATAATCAGCTTCGCTCTACTCAGGCAATGCCTGTTACATATTAGTTCAAGTCAACCTCAGCTCCCATTGAGAAGTTTACCATTCGTTTCTCTCTGGGGAATCGCGTCGGTCATACATCAGCCATTTTGAATGTCACGTGATGTATCCCTCCACCGTTCACTTCAAATAGATCCAAGATGGCGGGTCAAACTCAGAAATTTCGCATATATTATGCTCAGTGAATCAGTCATTAAAAATAGTTCCGGAAGATCATCAAAGCTGATGTTTTCGAATGAACTTTTGATTGATGTCAAGATGTGAAAATGGTCCAAGGATCATTAATATGTAACTCATGCGACGAAACGATGCCTAATTCCAGATCCTAGTGTATTAAAGTAAAACGAAATTTTGAACTATAAAAAACGAAATGAAATAGGATCTGTGTTTTAATCCGATTACATTAAATATATTTCTATTTCAAAAGGAAAGTTGTTAAAGTCAGTTGATGATTGTCGGAATAGTTGAGTATGCTGCCAGGCTACGTTACCAATACCTTTCGTTAAACTACCTGTTATAGTTAAACTACTACTACCTTTAACATCTACAGGTGTAGGCAAATTCAAGTCTTTACCTGAAAAAACATTCAAATATATAATATAAAAATATAAGAGAGAGATAAATGGGTTTAACCTTTAACGTCATTTTGGGACTAACATATGGTTCAATTTTATTTCAATAATTCTCTTGCGGGTAGGGTTCTTTAGCAGTGGGAGGAAACCAGAGGACCCGGAGTAAACCAACGAGGTTGGACAGGCGAACCTACTCCTTGTCACGTACAACCGGGGATTCAAAACCACGCCAGTTGACTCAATGACAGACCTTATAATACAACTCTCACGTCGTAGCCATTCTGCCACCCAACCCACGAGAGAGAGATGGGATTTAAGTTCAATCAACACAAACTAGGTCATTTCGGGACTAACATGGATTAAATTTATATAAAAATCAGAAAAATAAGTAGATCATTTTGTGACTACCATATGGTTAAGTTTTATTTCAATAATTCGCTTGCCTATATGGTCAGTAAAAATAACATATGGATCTTCTTAATTTAAATAAGATTTTTAACAACCTGGTATATATGAGGTATAGTCACAAGCGTTTTAAATGATATTTGTTCTTCGCGAATATCTGGTAAAATTCTGCTTCTTTTCATGAGAAACAAACTAATTTAAAAACAAAAAAGGCTTCCAAATTTTTAAAGATACATTAGTTAAGATTTTAATAAAAAAGTTGGCCATTCTTGATATAACAGTTCAAAATTAGATGATAAAAAAAGAAAATGTTGAAAATTTCAATCAAATTACTTTATTTTGAACTAAATTATCACTGTTGGAAGTTTGGACTAGAAATAGGCATCAACTGTCTCCGCACAGTCTTTGATTGTTTGATTGACAGACGATAACTCCACCTACTTATTCTCGATTATCAAGTAACATTCTTAATGCCTACGGTACCCTTGATTGTCCATCCTCTCATCGGCAGTCTCCTGTAGTGATTAACGGTAAATGTTAGCTTGGTCAGCCATTTAATGATTTAATAATAAAATGGACGACTGTTTAAATCCAAGCTGTATCCAAGCCATCCGTGGGTCTACAGAGTTGATTTTGGGATTGTTATGTAAATAAAGGTCTAATTAATAATTTCTATAACATTTGAAGACTATAGAAAGTCTTGCAATAGGCAGATTTAGCTCTTAACTAATGTATCTATTAGCTTTTATATATTGATTATACAAAACATCATTCATACAAGATTTTTCATTTATGAAAGATCGAAGAGAGAGAGAGAGAGAGATGGGGTTTAACGTCCACTCGACACAACTAGGTCATTTCGGGACTAACATATGGTTTAATTTTATTTCAATAATTCGCTTGCGCATAGGGGTCTTTAGCAGTGGGAGGAAACCGGAGGACCCGGAGAAAACCCACGAGGTTGGACAGGCGACCCTACTCCTTGCCACGTACAACCGGGGATTCGAAACCACGCCAGTCGACTCAATGACTGTAGGAATCCAATATATTTTGCTGATTCTTAACAAATCTTAAAATCTTAACAATATGCCAACCATTTTTTTAAACTATTAACATTAAATACAGAAACTCCCATTAAAACATAAATGAAATGAATGGGGTTTAATGTTCACTCTTCTGCTCTGACTGGATTTATGAGGGATGGGCTTATGTGTATGAGGGAAATTTTGCTCGGAAAGCGGCTTTATATTCTAATCATATATCGAATTCCAACTGCCAAGGGGTCTTTTATGTGCACCCCAATGTGTACATAGGACCTCATTTTTTGTCCAATCTGAATGACTAGAAACCTGTCCTTGTCACGCCCTCCGTCCTGCACCACTGACAAGAGGAAACCACGCGGGAAAATCCTGGTGAACTTTCTCGGTCAACACCATCTTACTCACTTAGCCACCGTGTCACTGCCATTAAAACAGCACAATACCTGAGTTTTAGTAAAATATAATATTGTTCTGGCCTTACCATTGAGCATAATACACTGATCATCACCACATATCTTCCATGTTATTACACCATTCTCATAAACACACGATTCAGCTTTTATTATAACTTTATCTATCTTTAGAGTACTCTCTGTAATAAAATATATATACTCATTCACGACTGTAGATTGATGATTTTACGTTTTAAACATTGTGAATATGAAACTCTCTGTTTTTATTGAGTGAGCTCGTTAGATTAGCTTGTGGTGTAGTGTGCCACGTGGAAATATACGCCAACCACTGATCTATAAATATCTCAATGATCAGTACGAGGCGACAGTTTCAGTTCACAACATGTAATTTCCCCACTACCAATCTGGCATTTGAACAAGAACCGGTATTTGCAACCTGAAGTGGAGAGAGAGAGAAATGGGGTTTAACGTCCACTCAACACAAACTAGGTAATTTCCGGACTAACATATGGTTCAATTTTATTTCCATAATTTGCTTGCGCGTAGGGGTCTTTAGCAGTGGGAGGAAACCGGAGGACCCGAAGAAAACCCACAAGGTTGGACAGGCGACCCTACTCCTTGCCATGTACAACCGGGTATTCGAAACCATGCCAGTTGACACAATGACAGACTTTATGATAAAGCGCGCGCACGCTAACCATTCATCCATCCAACCCCCCAACCTGAAGTGGAATAAAACATGTATTCTGTTAAAATGCTGAAACAAGCTCACTCAATAATACAAATTTCTGATGCAAGTAGGGCCAAACACTATCAAAATAGATATATTACGGAAAGTTCCATGTCATGAAACAGAAAGAAAAACGGAATTTGTGCCCAAGCCTGGATTTGTGCCAGACAAAGCCTGGATTTGTGTCAGACAAAGCCTCGATTTGTGTCAGACAAAGCCTTGATTTCTGTCAGACAGAGCCTCGATTTCTGTTAGACAAAGCCTCGATTTCTGTCAGACAAAGCCTCGATTTCTGTCAGACAAAATCTCAATTTGTTCCGTATTTCGAGACTTGCTAATAATAAACCCATCATTTTGTTACCTCCGTACACAGCACTGCACAAACAAAACAAAAAGGTGGTCGTATTGGTCAGGCATTTGTCTCAAAAAATAAACAACTTTACAGTCAATAAATGAATGAGTATAACATACCACTGAAGTCAAACTTCCAGGAAACAGACGCATTTTCCGAACCCTCGGCTCTTGCTATATACACCATCTTCCATTCTTTTTCCTCTTTACGTGCTAACGACGTAGACTGAAAACATAAACTCGACCAGTCTTTTTTCTCTTCATTGTTATTCGAAATACGAACATAATGATTTTTTGGACAGTTATATTTAACGTGAACTTTCTTCAATTGTTTCTCTCTTTCGCTTAACGTAAATATAAACGGTTCATTACTCATACCACCACCAGTTTCACCTCGAGCCAATCGCCATGCCAACGAGCCCGTAGTTCGACCAGATAGTTCTAAGTTATCAGCCGTCTTCACGGTTAAAAACTCCACCAATTCCACTATTGTTCTATTCAGCATTACTTTTTGTCTGGCCGGGGCCATAGCTGATCGTTTATTTTTATTGATTTTATAAATTGTGCTAACTAACCAATCTTCCCGACACTCGTTACGTCTAGATCGAACCTCAGCATGCTTTGCGGAATATCTCCAAGTGACATCCATGATTTCGTCTTTCGAGAAGGCGATAACGTAAGTTAACGCTTTCCCCCAACCGGCTTCATATGATAACGGTTTATCACAGACGTTCTCACACGGATCGCAATGCAGCCATCTTTGTTGACTTTGAGAATAAACTTCGGTCCACACATGATCTGTCCAATCCAGAACGTATCTAGCCTCAAAGCCAAGAGCTCGGCAACATAACGTAAAACAGTTCGCCCACTCTCCACATCGTCCTCGTCTAGTTTCCAACAACTTGCCAGGGTGGTTATATCGTGGAAATCTGGTTATTGAAGCACATACATTACACCGATGCGATTCAACACGCCCAGCCTGCCATCTCTCATCATCAGAATTTGGTGGCAACATTCCTTCAAACAAAAAATAAAAGATTTACTATTACATTTTTGAAACATTTTACAAAGATTATATCAAGGGGGTCTTTAGCAGTGGGGGTGGGGGGGGGGTGGGGGGGGGGACCGGAGAACCCAGAGAAAATCCATGTGTTTGGCCAGACGACCAGACACTTTGTCATGAACAACCAGGAGAGAGAGAGAAATGGGGTTTTAAGTCCACTCGACACAAACTAGGTCATTTCGGGACTAACATATGGTTTAATTTTATTTCAATAATTCGCTTGCGCATAGGGGTCTTTAGCAGTGGGAGGAAACCGGAGGACCCGGAGAAAACCCACGAGGTTGGACAGGCGACCCTAATCCTTGTCACGTACAACTGGGGATTCGAAACCATGCCAGTTGACTCAATGGACAGGCCTTATGATACAGCACGCACGTGCTAACCATTCGTCCATCCAACCCTCCAACACATAAAAGAACCCAGTTCGAATTCGAAACAAGAGTAGGCCATAGCGCAATCATTGCACGCTCCCATTTCATTTCAATTCAAGGGATTGAGAGAATTCAATACTGGAAGGTTTGATCAACTATCCTGCTATATATATTTACCATTATTAGTAGTTGGTCCAGTACATCTTTCACAAGCTAGAGAATCGACCCACGAGAAGAACGATGTTTTAAACCAATCCAACAAACACAGGAGAAGACAATCTTGAATATCTATTTGTTGAGATCTATCAGCTGATAGTATGGTCTCTAGTTTCTGTGTAGCTTCCTTCTGTAATGTCTCTATAGGTATAACGGATCTGGCTTTATCTTGAAGGCTCGAGTTTTCATACATCAACACATGCTGTAAACTGTTGTCTAACTTAGAATAAAATTTAGCTTCAGACATCTGTTAAGAGAGAGAGAGAGAGAAATGGGGTTTAACCTCCACTTGACATAAACTAGGTCATTTCGGGACTAACATAAGGTTTAATTTTATTTCAGTAATTCGCTTGTGCGTAAGGGTCTTTAGCAGTGGGAGGAAATCGGACAACCCGGAGAAAACCCATGAGGTTGGACAGACGACCCTACTCCTTATCACGTACAATCAGACATCTGTTAAAAGCAACACAATGAATTGTTGAATAGCACATGTGCAGGACATGAAATTGACAAAAATCAAATGGGGTTTAACATGCGCGTAGGAGTCTTTAGCAGTGGGAGGAAACTGGAGGACCCAGAGAAAACCCACGAGGTTGGACAGGAGACCCTTCTCCTTGTCACGTACAACCGGGAAATACCAAACCATACCAGTTGACTCAATGACAGACCTTATGATTCAACGTGCACATTTGCACGAAATGAAATGGGATTTAATGTCCTACTTTCCAGCATCAACTGGGCTAATGGAGACGGGCATAAATCAAACAGTGTGCTACAAGTGAAATTTTGCCCAGACAGAGGTGTTGCATCCTCTTCTCGTAATGAATTCCATCTCTAAAAGTTTTACGTGATTAACCAGACGCATGACAATTATTGCCCTAGTTACGTAAACTAGACATATACACTATTTCAAAAATGTTAATATTTTTTTTATGACAAATAAAACTAACTATAATATTTGTGGGTGGAGCTGGTCGAGTTGGTGCTGCCTGCGGAATGGTCGATGCTGTCTGTGGAGTGTTCGGAGCTGAAACAAGTGGAACTAACGGAACTGTTTCCAGGTTATCAGATTCACGAAGGGCATCTTTCACTTCTGTTAATTCATTACGTATCACAGTCAACACAGATAAACTACAATTCAGAGGCATCGTCAGAAATTCGCCATCCTGTAAAATAGAAAATGTTTGACATATTTAAAGATATTCTAAATCCCATAAAGTACAAGATGTATAAAAAAATATAAACTCCTATTTTTAGTGAATAAACGTGGTTAATTTGAAGTCTCTGAGAAACCTTTATCCTACATGAATTCCTTTGCAACTATTGGGTGTTTGGATGGCTGAATGGTTAGCACGTGTGTGCTGTATCATAAAGTCTGTCATTGAGTCAAAATTAACTGGCGTGGTTTCGAATCCCTGGTTGTATGTGACAAGGAGTAGGGTCGCCTGTCCAATTTCGTGGGTTTTCTCCGGGTGCTCCGGTTTCCTCCCACTGCTAAAGACCCCTACGCGCAAGCGAATTATGGAAATAAAATTGAACCATATGTTAGTCCCAAAATGACCTAGTTTGTGTCGAGTGGACGTTGAACCCCATTTCTCTCTCTCTCTCTTTGCAACTATTTGAAGTTCTAAACTATAACACAGGTACTAATTTATTTGGGTGCCGTTTCGAAGAGTATTCTGGGGATCACGTGGCTAAGTGGGTAAGACGCTGGCTCGCTAGCCTGGAGGTCGGGTGTTTGATCCCTGCATTGGCCGAGAAAGTTCATCCAGATTTTCCGGCGTGGTTTCCCCTTAATGTCAGTGATGCAGGATGGAGGGCCTGACAAGGACAGCTGTCTAGTCGTTCAGATAGGATGAAAAACCAAGGTTCCATGTAAACATTGCCGTGCACATGAAAGATCCCTTGGCAGTTGGAATTCGATATAAGAGTAGGCCATATTTCCGTTGCGCCGGAAAAATTTATCTCATAGCACACTGTATGGCATATGAATGTTTTCATTAGCCCAGTCAGAGCAGAAAAGTAGGACATTAAAGCCCATATTTCATTTCTTTTCACTTATAAGTTGACATAATCATATGGTGGATTTGGCTAAATCGTGCTACCCGTCAGTGTGCCACTCCCTAAACATACACAGTGATTTAAGGTTATATTATCAGGTGCAGGTTTGGGTTAGTTTTAGGGTTTGCATATATTGAAGGAATTAAAAAAAAGGAGTGACATCACACATGAGAATGAATGCCAAATTTATTTTCGGATTATTACCTCAAGAAACCCCATATCAAATAAACACTCCATAGCACCAGAAACAGGAAGTAGTTTGCTCTCAATAATAGGGTTTTTTAGTCGAATCCTTCGATATTTTTCTTCGGAGGGGTTCTTAATGATATTTTTACAAAATTTCAGAAGAATGTCAATCGCTTCAAATGCCGTTTTTGATTCATTTTCTGTCGCAAGTTGTAGAACCGAGTCCCACGTCATTTTTAGTTCGATGATAATACTGCGGCAGTTATCTTCCCATTACCCTCGAATATACAGGACGGCAACATTTTGACCAATCAAATTCGTCGATAGTTGTTGTTTACATCATGGCGTCCAAAGTTGTGCAGGTACTTGTTAGAAAATGATTATTGATCAAAATTTTTTATTTAAACAAAAAAACACGAGTTATAAATGCACCCATGCGCGGTATGTGCATTTGTGAATGCTTTCTTGTTTGAGAAACTTCATGCTTTTTTTTTTATTTAAAATAAAATCATCCCAAAGTCAATTTGTTGATGAGAAAAATTGATTGATCATTGATTTTGATGCCGTCATGAATGAATGATGAGGATGGTGATGACAGTCATGGTCAAATAGACATGGTTGAATATTTCTTTGAATAGTTACATACCTGCTTGAATAGGCTTTGAATCATCGTCCAAATAAATTAGTAATGGTCCTTCTGCAAATGATAACATAGCTACGAGAACATAACTAAAAACGCTGAGATATACTGATGTGCTTGTTTTTAGCTACGATTGGATGCCTTTAGTTCCAAGTGGCAAACTCAATTTCTTTATTAATGTATGTACCATCTTAAAAAGTTAATTTTATACTATTAGTACTTATTACACATACGCAGTCCAATCTACTGAAACAACATTCATTTATCAGCAAATATTAACAATAAAGTAAATCAAGCGTTGTTTTTATCAAAATTGATTCGGACCTTCATAATTAAGCTGTATTACTACTGCGCAACTCTGATCAGATGGGTACTTTGATTGGCTACTGCACACGAGGCCCCCATCTTACGTGTTACAGACGTAAATTTAAAATGTCGGAAAAAGCAATCTACTGTCGCTTTGATTTAAAAAGAGGGAATTTGTACCCGTTTCATGTAGGATTATATGCTTAATTGTAGTTGGGTGTGGCAGAAATATTATAAATAACAATAACCAATCGTTGTTTTGATTAAAAATATTGTCAATTTTGTTTACAAATGCGGGGTGCGAATCACTCCCGCATGTGCTACATTGAAGGTAATGGCATCATCTCTTATCTCGAAACACGGATGGTTGAGAGATTATGGTTTGTTATCTAATGATAACACAACCCTGCCGTAGATAACAAACCTCATCCCTCAACCCTCTGTGTTCGAGATAAGAGATGGTGCTATATAGTATATAGTTCCACATAGCAAAGCCCAACGCAAATCACATCGGGCCTCAGTATTAAAGCAAAGTTGACATTATTTTTCATCAAAACAACGATTGATTATTGTTATTTATAATATTTCTGCCACATCTAACTACAATTAAGCATATATACCTGAAACGGGTATAAATCATTGTATTTAAAATCGAGGCGTTAAACTGTTATTAGGACCATTTTTAAACGGGAGATGTATGACGCTATCATCATGAAGGCGGAGCTAAATATAAGGCTTCATTAATTTAAACACAAATATTTGGAGTTAGGCGATAGTTGTGCCACTAAATTGGCCTCTGTAAGTTTAATTGGTCATAATAGTATAAAATTAACTTATTTTACATGCAATAATAAAGAAATTAAGTTTGCCAGGTTGAATTAAAGGCACCCAATCGTAGCTAAAAACAAACACTTCAGTATATCTGGTAGGGTGCTATATTGCCATACACTTCAGCTCCTCAACCAGTTCTCATGGTCGTAGAGACTAAATTTTCAGTGGATGTTAACTGTATGATCCCTTTTAACATCCCCGAAAATTTCATGTCGCTACGACCACAGAAACTGGTATAAATGGTTCCACTATTAATATCTTCCCTTTTGCTCATGCCACAGTGGTTGATAGTTTATCAAAGGACTTTCTTTGAGCAAATGTTTTTAATCATTTGATTACAAAAAAAGCTACTGGCCTATAACTCCCTTAATTTCCAATTAAACTGACCCCAAAGTGTACAGCGCATAGCTTAACATATAATAAACCTATTCCCATTGAAATAAAGGTGTTCAAACCTTAGAACATAAATTTATAAATTTAATAAAATCCGATGACTATGCAATATTTCTGTCTTTTTTAAAATGACTGCCAAACCAGAATTTGAATATTCTGTTAGAAAACCCGGCACAGCCATCATGAATCTTTGAATTCGATAAAATGGACATAGTTGACTAATTCATTAAATTGTCTTGTAAAGCTATATGATATACTTGCTTGAATAGTACCCTTTGAATCGTCTCCCAAATAGATAAGTCATTGTTCTTCCACAAGTTAGAAATGATTTCACTACCGTGTTGCTGTATATATCACACAGAGAGTAGTCATACAAGGCTTTCAAAGACCCTGGCACAGCTGTCGTGAGTCCCTCAAATCCGGCTTTAATTGTGTGATAAGTATTGTCTTTCTTCTTCTGACAATGATATCCATTTGTTCTTTATCAAATTTCTTCAATGAAAAATATAGCAACTACTTACAGGTAACTACCTAACCTAGAGTGCTCCACCATATAAATGTAATTTTCAATGATTATGTCACCTTATTGATATATTATATATATAACATTCCTGTTGTATTTAAAAGGATATTAATCAATATTTTTTTTTTTCATTAGTCTACTACTGATGATCATGAAGAATCAAAGAATTCCAAGTCAGACCGAACTAAAAAATCGGAACTCATTAGAGAGATTCACAAACTGGAAGTTCAGTAAGTATAGATAATAATATTGCTTAAATTTATGTGTGGAAGACGTTATTAAACAAAATGGTTAACGGGTGCACATTTGATCATAAGGTCTGTAATTGTGTCACATGGTGTGGTTTCGATTCCCCGATTTTATGTGACAAGGAGTAAGGTTGTCTGTCCAACATCATGGGTTTTCTCTGAGTCCTCCGGTTTCCTACGTGCTAGCGAATTATTGAAATAAAATGGAAGTCCCGAAATGACCTAGTTTGTGTCGAGTGGACATTAAACCCCATTTCTCTCTCTCAAGATAATGCGGAGCTGCATTGGCTTGGTGATTATTGCGCTGACTCACTAACGAGAATCTCAGGTTTAATCCCGATGTTCTTCCACATTTGATTCCCCGGTTGTACGTGACAAGGAGTAGGGTCGCCTGTCTAACCTTGTGGGTTTTCTCCGGGTCCTCCGGTTTCCTCCCACTGCTAAGGACCCCTACGCGCAAGCGAATTATTGAAATAAAATGAAAACCATATGTTAGTCCCGAAATGACCTAGTTTGTGCTGAGTGGACGTTAAGCCCCATTTCTCTCTCTCTATCTCTTCCTCATTTATCTGCCTTGTCAATGGTGCAGGACGGAAAGTGTGGCAAGGAAAAACTCAGATGAAAAACTGAGGTCCATTGTGTACCACCATTGACAGCACGATAAAGATCCCCTGACCGTAGAAATCTAGTAAAAGAGTAGACCTTAGGGCCACTATTAAGTCAAAATTGCCCCCAGAACACTGCCTGTTGCCTTTGATACCTCAGTTGGAAAGTGAAATGAAATAAAATGGGGTTTAACATCCTACTGTTCTGGGCTAATGAAGATCCTAATGTTCTGCTCCGACCTGGGATAATGAAGACGGACATATGCCATACAGTGTGCTATGAGGAAAATTTTGCCTGGGCAGTGGCACTAATGAAGACGGGTAGATCAGTTGGTCCCAAAAAGTAGGATTTTAAACCCTATCAAGATAATGGTTTTTATTTTCGGTTATAGAATACAAGCAATGGAAAGAGAAAAATCAACACATATCTTCAGTAAAAGAAGTGATTTTCGAGCAGATTTTCTTCAGTTAGAAGAACAAGATACAAATTCTACATCTGAACGTAAAACCGAAAGTAAGTTGATAGATTTTATTTTTTTTTTTTCTTCCAAAAAATAATTTTAGTAAAACAACAAACGACATGTTATTTATAATTTTTCTAAATATAAAAATCAATATTTTAATATGTATGATAGCTAAGTTAAAGTTTTCGATATCTGTATCAGTAAATTTTTTATTTGAGAAATAAAAGTCCGACAACAATTAGAGAAAATATCCCACATGGTGAAACGATTTCAAAGAGAATTAAAAGATGTTAAACCTACACCAGAATGTAAGTATTGAAATATTAAACACATTTTCCGTATAGCCACAGTCTCACAGTCAACATGATCTGTGTAGCTCCAGTCTCACAGTCAACATGATCTGTGTAGCCACAGTCTCACAGTCAACATGATCTGTGTATAGTCTCGCAGTCAACATGATCTGTTTAGCTCTAGTCTCACAGTCAACATGATCTGTGTAGCCACAGTCTCACAGTCAATATGATCTGTGTAGCCCCAGTCTCACAGTCAACATGATCTGTGTATCCCCAGTCTCACAGTCAACACGATCTGTGTAGCCAAAGTCTCACAGTCAACATGATCTGTGTAGCTCCAGTCTCACAGTCAACAGGATCTGTGTAGCCACAGTCTCACAGTCAACAGGATCTGTGTAGCCACAGTCTCACAGTCAACATGATTTGTGTATCTCCAATCTCACAGTCAACATGATGTGTGTAGCCACAGTCTCACAGTCAACATGATCTGTGTAGCCACAGTCAACATGATCTGTGTAGCTCCAGTCTCACAGTCAACATGATCTGTGTAGCTCCAGTCACACAGTCAACATGATCTGTGTAGCCCCAGTCTCACAGTCAACATGGTCAGTGTAGCCACAGTATCACAGTCAACATGGTCAGTGTAGCCACAGTCTCACCGTCAACATCATCTGTGTAGCCACAGTCTCACAGTCAACGTGATCTGTGTAGCTCCAGTCTCACAGTCAACATGATCTGTGTAGCCCAAGTCTCACAGTCAGCATGATCTGTGTAGCTCCAGTCTCACAGTCAACATGATCTGTGTAGCCACAGTCTCACAGTCAACATGATCTGTGTAGCCACAGTCTCACAGTCAACATGATCTGTGTAGCCAGTCTCACAGTCAACATGATCTGTGTATCCCCAGTCTCACAGTCAACATGATCTGTGTAGCTCCAGTCTCACAGTCAACATGATCTGTGTATCCCCAGTCTCACAGTCAACATGATCTGTGTAGCCACAGTCACACAGTCAACATGATCTGTGTAGCCACAGTCACACAGTCAACATGATCTGTGTAGCCACAGTCTCACAGTCAACATGATCTGTGTAGCTCCAGTCTCACAGTCAACATGATCTGTGTAGCCCCAGTCTCACAGTCAACATGATCTGTGTAGCCCCAGTCTCACAGTCAACGTGATCTGTGCAGCCACAGTCTCACAGTCAACATGATCTGTGTAGCCACAGTCTCACAGTCAACATGATCTGTGTAGCTCCAGTCTCACAGTCAACATGATCTGTGTAGTCCCAGTCTCACAGTCAACATGATCTGTGTAGCCCCAGTCTCACAGTCAACATGATCTGCTTAGGATTATTTGGTCATTAAAGTAGCAATAAATGTAAACAAGCCAAAAACAATTTTGCCCGGACAGAGACGCTGCGGCCTACACTTATATCGAATTCAAATTGCCAAGCGATCTTTGACATGCACTCTTAAATACGTTGTCCTCAGTCCTGCAGAACTGACAAGGAGGAACCATACCGGAAAATCCTGTTGAACTTTCTCAGCGAATGCAGGTATCGTACACAGGACCTCCATGTTAGCGAGCCAAAGTCTTACTCACTGAGCCATTGTGGCTCCTTATGCAGCTTCTATCTGATTTTATAAACAGTTAATTTTTATTATCTCTCATGGCTTTGTAGTTAATACATATGTTAAATGATGGTGTTTTTAATTGGATTTAGTTGTAGAAAAATTAAAATTAATAATGGAAGACATTGAAGGAACAATCAATTCTTTTAAAGAACAACAAAGATACAAGTAAGTTTTAATTTTATTGGTACTATTCCTAACAAGTGGGAACCTTGCGTGAACAATCAAGTCTGGGGGAAACTACCAACTTCCGGGGGGTGGGGGGGCCCTTTAAAATTTCTCAATTCCTGTATCATTTTCGTATGTTATTCACCTAGTTCATGGTCACTTACTTCCTGATCTCTCTACCCCCAAATCATGAATATTCACCCAAACATGGCAGAAAATATAAATTCAAACACTTTTCTTCAATTCGATTCGATTCTACACCAAATAAGAATAAGATACCGAGTTGTAATCAGTCTGCCATGGGGCGTTTTCGAGATATTCAGGGTCAAATATATCTTCATTTGTACCATGGTTGTCATTCTTTGCTTGATAAAGACGGGAGAACTCTTGTCGAAACGTCGCTGAAATAAACTCTTTAAGTAACTTGTATTCCATATAATTGTGCCATGTGTTATTCTCATTCAGTTACTAAATGCCGCTCAAACAATAAACTATAACATTCATTGATACCTACACATGGGAAAATAATTAATGGGTGGGGGGGTTGGATGGCTGAATGGTTAGCACGTGCACGCTGTATCATAAGGCCTGTCATTGAGTCAACTGGTGTGGTTTCGAATCCCCGGTTGTACGTAGAGTCGCCTCTCCAACCTCATGGGTTTTCTCGGGGTCCTCTGGTTTCCTCCGGTTTCCTCCCACTGCTAAAGCCCCCTACGCGCTAACGAATTATTGCAATAACATTGAACAATATGTTAGTCCTGAAATAACCTAGTTTGTGTCGAGTGGACGTTAAACCTCTCTCTCTCTCTCTCTCTCACCTAAACAACCTCTCTTCTCTCTTTCTCTTACCTACATAAGGGAAGATAATTACTGGTCTGAATCCGTTTTACCATTTTGTTACCTATTTATAGATATGAAGAGTTATTGAAGGAGGAGAGAAATACGTATTTAGAGATCAAGAATCTAGAGAAAAGATTTGAAACATGGTCTCAATCATCTGGTTCTATATCATCCCGTCCTGTTTCAGGTCGACCAGTAACTAGTGCTAGAGATATTACGAAAGATTTACCGCCAGAAGTTGCTGCATTCGAGGTAATTTATAATTGTTTTGAAATCTTAAAGTGGTATTACGTAAGAGCTAAATCTATCATTCTTTTTTCTAGCTTCAAATGTTATATAAATGAAATGAAATGGGGTGTAACGTCCTACTGTTCTGCTCCAGACCGTGCTAATGAAGATGGGCATACACCATACTGTGTGCTATGAGGGGAATTTTGCCTAGACAGCGGCACTGCGGTCTACTCTTATATTGAATTCCAACTGCGAAAGGATCTTTTACGTGCACGCCAGTTGGAGCAGAATAGTAGGACGTTAAATACAGTGACCAATTTTTTATCAAGAACCTGGGGATCACGTGGCTAAGTGGGTAAGACGCTAGCTCGCTAGCCTGGAGGTCGGGTGTTCGATCCCTGCATTGGCCAAGAAAGTTCATCCAGATTTTCCGGCGTGGTTCTCCCTTGTCAGTGATGCAGGACGTAGGGTCTGACAAGGAAAGCTGTCTAGTCGTTCGGATGGGACGAAAAACCGAGGTCCCGTGTACACATTGGCGTGCACGTAAAAGATCCCTTGACAGTTGGAATTTGATATGAGAGTAGGCCGTAGTGCCGCTGTCCGGGCAAAATTTCCCTCATAGCACACTGTATGGCGTATGCCCGTCTTCATTAGCCCAGGTTAGGAGCAGAACAGTAGGACGTTAAACTCCATTTCATTTCATTTCATTTTATCAAGAGCCTGAATAACATTAAGGTTTTTGTTTGCCATCTTAAATATTCAATATATTTACGGTAAATAATAACATAAGAAATGAAAATTATGACATATTTTTTATTTATTTAGAGGTTTTTACAGCAGACGGGTGGAGTACGAGGAGGATGGGATGAATACGATCATCAAACATTTCTAAAGTTTAGACAGAAATACAAGGTAGTCCATTTACATACTCTAAATATAAGATAATCCATTAGACAGTGTCACTATATATAAGGTTATGCTAGGATTCCATTATCGTGGTGAACCTGTCAGGTCTTATCATATATTTAGGTCAGTTGTAGCAATCGTGTTGATCGTATCAAAATGTATACGAATGTACCAGATTATCGAACGTACCAGAGTATGGACTCAATAGATATTGTAGTCAGTTGTAGAAATCGGTTGATCGTATCAAAATGTATACGAACATACCAGATTATGGAACGTACCAGAATTTGGACTCAATAGATATTGTAGTCAGTTGTAGAAATCGGTTGATCGTATCAAAATGTATACGAACGTATTGAGTCCACAATCGGGAAATCCTTTCGTAACGCATCGCACGACAGTGGGAACCTAGCACAATCATTTAGACATTGTCGCTATATATAATAAGATAATTAATTAGAGATCTCACTATATATAAGTTATTTCCTGAAATCAATCAATACTCTAAATGTTATAAACAGTCTCACTATATACTGGTATGTAAGGTGTTGGCTGGCGGACCAAAAGGTTCTGTATTCAATCTTGGTGTTGGCCAAGAAAGTTCTTCAGGATTTACGCATATGGTTTCCTCTAGTCCATGAAAAGTGTGGCATTCAGTAAAAATTTAATACAATCAACAGGTTTAAGAGGGAGAAGAGAGAGAGAGAGAGAGATTTTAAAGTCCACTCAACAAAAACTAGGTCATTTCGGGACTAACACATGGTTCAATTTTATTTCAATAATTCACTTTCGTGTATGGGTCTTTAGCAGTGGGTGGAAACCGGAGGACCTGGAGAAAACCCATGATGTTTGACAGGCTATCCTACTCCTTGCCACATAAAACAGGGGAATTGAAACTGCACCAGTTGGCTCAATGACGGACTGTATGATACTGTGTGCAGACACTAACCATTCGGCCATCCCCCCCTCCCCCCACCCCCACTCTCTAACAAACAATAAGAATATGAGTACAAATTAAGTTTCAGGGCCAGGTGAGATTATTTTGGTCATTCTATGAAGAATTCTGTAATTACCCATAAAATTCCCCAATAAACTTCACTTTTCAGGGAAGGATTGTGTTCTTGGATCAACTGCCATCTGCTATTCCAACTAAAACGGAAACAGAAATACGGGAACATGAAAGTTGGTATCAGGAATTTCTTTTTTTACAAGATAATAAAAAATATGCCATTAAAAAATGGAGAGAGAAAAAAGAGGTTTGAATTAAATATTTTTTATTTATTTTCATGGGTTTATTCAACTTAAAGAAATTAAATGCAATGAAATGGGGTTTAAGGTCCTACTGTTCTCCTCTGACTGGGCTAATGAAGACCGGCATACGCCATACAGTGTGCTATGAGGCAAATTTTGCCTGGACAATAACGCTGCGGCCAACTCTTATATCAAATTCCAACTGTCAAAGGATCTTTTACATGCACACCAATGTGTACACGGGACCTTGATCTTTTATCCCATCCGAACGACTATATGTTGTCCCTTGCCAGGCCCTCCTGACAAGGAGGAACCACGCCGAATAATCCTGATGAACTTTCTCGGCCAATGCATAGATCGAACACAAGACCTCCTGGTTAGCACGTTGATGTCTTACTCAGTGAGCCACCGTTGCTCCCAAGTTAAAGATATGTTAACTTTAAAGTTAAATGGTGACATCTTTTGGGCCGACACAGTGTATGTGTTTATTCGTTTGGATAAAACAAAATCCACCTGTGTAACTGTTGCCATGCATGTTGCCATGGACGTAAAAGAACCCTTGACAGTTGAAATTCTGTTGCTGTTCGGAAAAAATTTCTCTCATATCACACTGCCCGTCTTCATTAGCCCAGTTGAGTAGAAAAATCGGACGTTAAAACCGCTTAATTCATTCATTTATAACCATATGAGAAAGTCCAGCAGGATCTTCAATCCTTGGTCCCCCTCAGTGGTGCAGGAAAGAGAGCCTGGCAACAAAAACCATCTAATAGCTCATTTCAAAAACTATGTCCCCTGTACGCAACTCTGGGCAGTCAGAATTTGATAAGAGCGGATCGGAAATGCTGATCAAAGTTTAAATCATAGGCCACTGTATGACTTACTTCCATCAAAAATGAGGTCCCCTGTACGCAACTCTTGACAGTCGTAATTTGATGAAGAGCAGTCGGAAATGCTGATCAAAATTTCTGTCATAGGCATCTGCATCCCCATCTTCATTAACACGTTTGGTGCCGAAATTTAGGACATAAACCCAGTTTCATGGTCTATTATTACAGGATGAAAAAGATGATGTTTTATCTAAAGCTGGTCAAGATGAAGAAATAGAAATAGAAACAGAAAAGAAAAAACAACAAAAATATTTAGAAAAATTACAAGAGGAGAAATCTGTCCGCTGTGCTCAAGTTAATGCATGGAAGGTAAGTTGGATGTAGATATACACGGCCATATTGAAATAAATATTCTGGTTCGGAGATAATCCTGTGTTACTTATAAAGGGCTGGATGACCCGTTTTTATACCACCCACATGTCGAGAAATGAAGGGTTGTAAGAGCCTTCTACACATGTAGGGTGGGGGGTGGATCACCATTGCGTCAACTGGCGTGATTTCGATTACCCGATGGTACGTGATAAGGTGACAAGAAGTATGGTCGTCTGTCTAACCTTGTGGGTTTTCTCCAAGTCCTCCGGTTTCCTCCCACTTCTAAAGCCCCCTATGTGCAAGCTAATTATTGAAATAAAATTGAACCCTGTTAGTTCCAAAATGACATAGTTTGTGTGAGTGGAGGTTAAACCCCATTTCTCTCTCTCGCTCTCTCTCTCTTTTTCTCGCTCTCTCTCTCTCTCCAACTAGAACAAAGGATTCAAAGAGCCATCTAAACAGAAGTTTTATTCACCAGGGTTTCTCCATAATTACGCTGCATTTGTGTTTTTAGGTACAAAAGGAATTAGAAAAGGCTCAAGAAGAAGAAAGACGTTTGCAGGAAGAAATGATGAAACAAAAAAAGAAAGAAGAAGAAAGAAAAAGACAGGTACCGAATATGATATAAAATAAACTTAGATGTGGCCTGGAGATAGGGGTACGTTCTCAACATCATGGGTTTACTCCGACTACTCCAGATTCCTATTCGAATCCCCGGTTGTACATGACAAGGAGTGGGTTGCCTGTCCATTCTCTTGAGTTTTCTCCGGTCCTCCGGTTTCCTGCCACTGCTAAAGACCCCTACGCGCAAGCAATTTATTGAAATAAAATTGAACCATATGTTAGTCCCAAAATGACCTAGTTAGTTTGTGTCGAGTGGATCTTAAACCCCATCTCTCTCTCTAGATTCCTCTGACAGGAAAGACACCTGCGCTGTGCTAAACATAATAAAATAAGACAATTTGTCTGCACAGGTACCAAAAAGATGTGGCTTGGAGATAGGGGCACTTTCTCAACTTTGTGGGTTCACTGTGGGTTTTCCAGATTTCTCCCACAGATAAGACTCTTGTGCATGTGCTAAGCATAATGAAATAAGACAGCTTGTCTGCGATATCACCCTTGGTGGATGTAAAAACACTAATATAGAGCGAAGCTCTAAAGCATCGCGCAAAGCTCTTTTCCGGTAACACAGGAGCGTAACTGAAATTGTCACTCACAGACTGTTGATTAAAAAAAAATTCAGATCGGAACGTCAAAAATATGTGATGTCATTGAAAATAATTCTCACACTTTTTTGTTCCTTTTTTAAAAACAAAATTAATGTATAAAATTTAGATCTAAATAAAAATCAATTTTGGAAAACTAAATTATTTAACATTTTTTGTATCACTTGAGAAAAATTAATTATGAAGGTTTTATATTTAACAATAATCAGCTTCGCTCTACTCAGGCAATGTCTGTTACATATTAGATCGAGACAAATATAGAAATAGATTTGTATAGTTCTCTAGTTCCTCAGATATGTGATATTTTTGGCCCTAAATACCACATAATACCAAAGAAGAGGACAAGCACATGTTTTAATGATGGCGGCTTTATTCCAACTGTATGTTTAATGCACTACATGTAACTATAAAGAGGGTCAGTGCTAAATGATAAGGCCAGCTCAATCTTTAGTCATAGGTCATGAGATGTAAACAAAGCTAGTGCTAATCCCAACCCTAACCCTGGACCTGGCCCTAATGCTTAGCCTATTCTAACCTACAATCTCGCCAACAATCACGTGCCCTAACCTTATTTACATCTCAACGACCTTGACAAAAATTGAGCTGGCCTTAACAAATAGATTTAGCCTATCAAGAGTGTTTACATGCGCGTGATGCACCACAATGTAATTAAAGACAAAACATGATGCACAACAGAAAACCGAGGTCCTGTGTACGCAGTGGCATGCATGTAAAAGATCCCTGCCTTGACAGTTGGAATTCGGTATAAGAGTTGACCATTGCGCCACTGTCCAGTATGGCGTATGCCCGTCTTCATTAGGCCAGCCCGAGCAGAACAGTAGGACGTTAAACCCATCATTTTTATACGCCCACATTGAAATGTGGTCGTATATTGTCGTCGCCCCCGTCCGTCCTTCCGGCGTCCACAATTGCTTGTGGACGCTCTAGAGGCTAAAGTAAATATCCGATTGACTTTAAATTTATACACAGTGTTTAAGGTCATGAGACGAAGAAGCCTATTGATTTTCAGCGATTTCCGATAATTACTGCCAGAGTTATGGGCCTTGATCACTTCAAAAAATCTTGTGGACGCTCTAGAGGCCAAAGTTAATATCTGATCGACTTTAAATTTATACACAGTGTTTAAGGTCATGAGACGAAGAATCCTATTGATTTTCAAAGATTTCCAATAATTACTGCCAAAGTTATGGCCCTTGATCACTTTGAAAAATCTTGTGGACGCTCTAGAGGCCAAAGTTAATATCCGATTGACTGCAGATGGATACACAGAGTTTAAGATCTTGAGACAAACAAGTATATTGATTTTCAATGAATTTTTATGACTTGGAACAGCTAAATTCATGATACAGTATTAAAAGTTCTGTATACAAAACGTTAGCATGGGGCAGAACTTTATAAAAACTAAACAAATTCTAATAGTTTTCTGAGTTGTTGCTCTTAATCAGATTTTAGTGTATTATAAATGTTTCATTACCGAAAAAAGTAAAAATATGCGACAACTCTTGTTGACTGCCCGGACGATTTAGCTGCTGTGGGCGTATGTTTCGTTGCCTGGCAACCTATCTTTTATTACAGCAAGATATGAAACAGAAAGTATTAGAGATGAAACGACAACGAGAAGAAGAAGAGGAAATAATGAAAGAAAAACAGAAATTACAAGAGCAGGAGGAATTAGAAATAAAACAGAGAATAGCAGCTAAACAAATCCCTAAATTCCGAAACAGAGTAGGTATTCAATATACCTGTTGTCATTATTCAGGTGGTATGGTTTCGATTCCCTGCTTGTACGTGGCAAAGAGTAGGGTCGTCTGTGCAATCTCATGTGTTTTGGTGTGTTTTCTTTGGGCCCTTCAGTCTCCTGCCACTGTTAAAGACCCCAACGCACAAGCGAATTATTGCAATAAAATTGAACCATATGTTAGTCTTGAAATGACCTAGTTTGTGTTGAGAGGCCAGTCGGAGCAGAACAATGGGATGTTAACCCCATTTCATACAATCTGAGGAATGCTAGGGGTGTTTATTGTCCAATAGATGATTAATTTCAGGGTATTCTATATTTGTGCTATAATTTTATTTAACATTGATTTGTAGGATCAGCAAAAATTAGAAGAAAAACTTTTTAAAGAAAGATTAAAAGAGGAGGAAAGAATAGAAAAAGAATTATTGAAGGAGAGAATCAAACAAAACGTAAGTCATCTAATATTGAAGCCATACAAAAGACATATTCTCGTTCTTAGATAATTCTGATGTGGGAGGGAGGTTTAATTTGATGTTTTTATTTTGTCAATGGATCAATACTGGGCTATGCACATCAAATTGTTGTTTATAGTAGAGAGCCATGGTGGCTAAGTGTGTAAGACGGCGGCTCGCTAGGGCATTGGCCGAGAAAATTTATTGAGATTTTTCAACGTGGTTTCCCCTTGTCAGTGGTGCAGGATGGACAGGCTGACAACAAGAGCTGTCTAGTTGTTCAGATGGGACAAAAAACAGGTCTGGTGTATACATTGGCATGCACATAAAAGATTCCTTGGCAGTTTGAAATCAATATAAGAGTAGACTGTAGGCAAAACTTCTCTCATAACACACTGTATGGGGTATGCCCGTCTTCATTAGACCAGTCGGAGCAGAACAGTAGTACATTAAACACCATTTCATTTCATTTTTGTTTGTAGACCGAGTATAATGTACGTAGAGATCCGAGTAGATTGTTGAAACCAACGACAGGATGGAAACAACGATTAAAAGATAACACACCTAATAATACCGGCGGTCCTGTTTTACACATGCCACACAGGTAATAATACTGGTCCTATTTTACACGTGCCGCACAGGTAATAATACCTGCGGTCATGTTTTACACATACCACACAGGTAATAATACCGGCGGTCCTGTTTTACACGTGCCGCATAGGTAATAATACCGGCGGTCCTGTTTTACACATGCCACACAGGTAATAATACAGGCCCTGTTTTACACATGCCACACAGGTAATAATACAGACCCTGTTTTACACATGCCACGCAGGTAATAATACTGGTGGTCCTGTTTTACACATGCCGCACAGGTAATAATACCAACGATCCTGTTTTACACATGCCACACAGGTAATAATACTGGTCCTGTTTTACACATGCCACACAGGTAATAATACTGGTCCTGTTTTACACATGCCACACAGGTAATAATACAGGCCCTGTTTTACACATGCCACACAGGTAATAATACAGACCCCGGGTTCACAAACAACCACAGACTTAAGTTAAGAACTTACTCAAAATTGTTCGTCTTATTTTAACTAAAATATAACCATTTATCAAATTTGTGTTGTTTTAATGTATCAAATACAACAATAAGAAACTATTTGCAAAGTCTTGAGTTTCTGGATCAAAGATATTTCTCATAAACAGTGTTTGAAAGTTGAGTAAATTCTTAACTTTAGTCTGAGAATGGTTTGTGAACTCCAGGCCTGGTCTCACAAAGCAGGAAGTACCAGGTTCGATCCAGATTGAGGAGTCACAGTGGCTCAGTGAGTAGGATGTTGGGCTCGCTAACCTGGAGTACTGTGTTTGAAACAGCGTAGGTCAAGAAAGTTCGTCAGGATTGTCCCGCATGGTTTCTCCTTTTCAGTTGTGTACACATTGGCATTCATTTAAAAGAACCTTTGACATTTGGAATTCGAGATAAAAGTAGGGGGGTGCTCGATTGTCAATCCGGAACGTCCCGAATTGACAGAATCGCAATCAAGTGATACGGAATTCAGTCCTGTCAGTCCCAACAGCTGAGGTGGTGTGAATAGAATCGTGACGTATTTTAAATAGCAAATATGTTTCAGCTGCCATGATTGGTTGAGATATTTTTTGTGCAGTCGGCACATGCGTTGTACTCCAAAATTCTCCTGTTCACTTGATTGACACTATTTTGGGGATTGAGAGAATTCAATTCCGGAACGTTCAATCGAGCATCCCCTAGGTGTCACTGTCCAGGAAAATTTCCCTCATAGAACACTGTATGGCGTATGCCCGTCTTTATTAACCCAGTAGGAGCTAAAAATTAGGATGTTGGACCCTGGTTCCCCGATTGTATGTGACAAGGAGCAGGGTCTCCTGTCCAACCTTGTAGGTTTTCTCCCACTGTTAAAAACCCCTACTTGCAAGCGAATTATTATAGGAAAAATTGAACCATGTTAGTCCCAAATGGCCTAGTTTGTGTCGAGTGGACGTTAAACCCCACTTCTCTCTCACATTGAACCCCATTCCAGATTAAGTTCCTCAGGATTTTCACGTCTGCCTTCTTACCTTTGTCATTGGTACTGGAAAGGAAGGGCCTGGCAAGATAAAAGCTTCCACCAGTGCACGTTAAAGATCCTTTTGACGGGTGCGCCCCCACACAATCACACACACACAATCTGCCATTGAGGGGGGGGAATTCTACTACCATGGCAGTTCAAAATTCCTATTTCATTTTATATCTTTTCGTTGTTAATTGTAAATTAGCTTGATTGTCCAGACTACCGCCAGTGCACGTTGAAGAATCCTTCTTGTGATGGGTGGGCCTTCCCGTCAGATCTGCCCTTGAGGGGGAGACGCTGCTACCATGGCAGTTCAAAAGTCCCATTTCATTTTATATCTTTTAGTCATTAATCTGATTGACCTGTCTATTTCAGGGCTATACCAGCATGGAGACAAGGACCGTAAACGTTTTAAACTATTCAAATATTTATAAAATGGGTGATCACAGTTGTTATAACTTCATGGTTTATGGAATGGAACATGGTTTGCCTGTCTGATTAAAATATAGATCTGAATTTTATTTTGTTTATTTATGCTTTAAGTTTCATTTCCTTAGTCTTCATGACAGCAGGGGGTGGGGAAAGAGAGGGACAAATGGTCTAATGCATGCACTCATGAAGTCGGATAGCTGTCTAGTCGTTCGGATGGCACAAAAAAACGAGGTCTTGTGTACACATTGAGATGCACGTAAAAGATCCCTTGACTGATTTTCCAGATGGAGGGCCGGACAAGGACAGCTGTCTAGTCATTCGGATGGGATTAAAAACAGAGGTCATTCCTGCCCAATTTGTCCCCCCCCCCCCCCCAACATTTTTACAACAGAGATGATGTATATGACAGACAGAACCTCATGTTCCTGAAGCAACGACTGCGATGTTTCACAACATCTGGACGTTGCTGGTTTACTTCAGAATTCCCAAACTTATAGCTACATTGTCTACAGACACATGAGTAGTAGCGTCCAATCAGAGGTTGTGCCATCGCAACCTCCACGGAAACCTTGACATTGAATGAACCTTGAACTTTGCAGCTCGATTATCACAGGTAGTCATTTTAGCTTGAACGCGCGAGACTTGCTATTCTTTGCTATTCGCGACGATCGAGGAATCTGATAGGTTTACAAGTTGGGCTTGTACCCAATCGAAATTAGTGCCGAAATATGTAGGGTATTACGTGAAGGCCTTAAGATGTACGTAGTTAAAGCGAGATCAAGTCTTCTATTGAAGATGACAGGACTTATGCCCAATCAGACATCAAGATATGGTGAAATCTCATTCAAAATTCCCTAAAATATTGACTTACTGGGGATATAACTACACAGGGCTTGCCACGAGACGCGAGCAACTGCTCGCGCTCGCGTAAATCTACATTTACGCGAGCGGTTCATTGCTCGCGCAAAATTTTAAGAAAACCCTGTAAAAATAATCAAAATATTGACAAGTTTATTGTCGAAACTAACCCAACAATGTCAATAACGTCATAAATTCGTCTGTCAAACTGAGATTCACCCAGCTGCACGCGGCATTTCCTCCTGAAATTTGATTGGCTAATAAAGTTACTCGCAACTTGTGTTACTAAAAATACACTTTAGACCTGAACGTCATGACTGGTTTTCCTACGAACACCTGTAACAAACACGTGATAATCGAGTCTAAAGTAAAGAACGTTTACATCCGGCATTTGGTATTCACGCTAAATGAACACGTTTCAAACTAATATTTATCGGTATTTCCTATTTTATCAGAACTTCGGTTTTTATTCCATTGTGCAGTCGTATAATTTTCAATCTAAGCGTAATAATGGCCAAAGGCAACCTGATTGCCCTATCCACATTTATTTCGTGGGGTGAAGAAATCCATACGGAAATTGGTTTTAATAAAGAAGAGTACGTATGACTGTCAAAAACACATGTTTACTGCAAACTTTGTGCCAGGAATAGCAATTTTCTTATGATTTTAAATTGAAACAATGTTACAAAATGTGTGCTCATGCAAACAACATTTTGCGTGAGCAATTTTTATTGCTCGCCCAAACCTAAATTTGCGTGAGCAGTCATCTGCTCGCCATCAATTTATTTGTGGCCAGCCCTGACTACATGTATTACTAATCTCAATTATCCTTGATAATAGACGGGATTGTTTAAACGTGCATTATATAAGATGTAAATATTAACATTAACTTATCCAGATCATAATCCACTCTCGATGCCATCGGATGGCTCCAATTTTAAGTAGATTAGAGCAGTTCGGCCATTTAATGATTTAATTTAAAATGGAGAAGTGAGGTTAAGGCTAGAATAGCCAGCACGGTGGTTACAATCAGTGCACACATTTTGTCAAAACTACAACCATAGATAACTTCGCTCAAAATAAAGTAATTTAAATGAAATTTTCAATATATTCATTTAGCATTATTTTGAAATATCTTGGTCATTTTTATGAAAATAGTGCTAGAAGCATATTTGAATAGTCCACAGCCTAATCCTTCTAAAATGCAATTCTTTTTAAATTTGTCGTAATCATCTGGAGTTTGGCTAAATCACAGAAACAAGAAGACACACAGTTTATGCTTTTAGTACAAAATGGAAATTGTGTGACAAGCACTTGGTTTCATGGGAGTGGTTCACATAATATGGCCTTGCAACTATTTCCTTTAAAAACCATTTAAAATAAAACACTCCATCGTTTCTTGGCTTTTTATTTTTAGGTACAATATACAAATTTAGTACAATTTTTCTTCAACTCGGATTCTGAGTTACAACTAACGCTGTATATGTTCAAGATACAGCCGAGCACGCCGCTGTGTACTTGAAGTGAGACTGTGGCAGTCTATATATATTTTAACTTATTTCTGTTCCACAGAGAGTACATATATTTACAAAAGAAAATAAATGAAAAAAGACATTTAACAAAGCGTAAAGTCCTATATATCGCCAAACAGAATTTTAGAGATTTTTTCCAGTCATACATGTATTCATGTCATGCTGTTCAATTCAACTGAACCAGAATGACCATCATTCAAATTACTCTATAGTGTACATGAGGGGTTTTAAATGAAAAATAAAGACATTGAACAAAGAAAGTCGTACATATCGCCAAACATAATTCAAAAGTTTATTTTTCTTTTAGTCATAGTCACGTCATGCTGTTCAATTCAACCGAACCATAATGATTATGTTACACTACAATGTCCATGAGGGGTTTTAAATGAAAAACGACTTCGAACAAAGCATGAAGTCGTAGATATCGAAAAACAGAATTCAAAAAGGTTTTTTTTTCTTTCAGTCATAGTCACGTCATGCTGTTCAATTCAACTGAACCAGAATGATTACATGTCCATAAGGGGGTTTTAAATGAAGAATGACATTGAACAAAGCGTGAAGTCCAACCAATTTTCGCCAAGTAGTAATTATGTATCAGTTTGACTGAACCACAATGATCCATATTACTCTGTACATAACAAGTGTCTATAAACTATACAACATTATCCTGTATATTATATATCATAGTCTCCATATTGGCACATACTGGGGGAGAGAGGGGGGGGGCAGAGGTTAACATTTGTCAGATGAACAAGCACTGTTCTATTCTTACATTGGTTAAAAAGTTCCGAGAATAAATTAACAACAGTTATTTAAATTCAACATGTACATACGTTAAGCCATAGACAAGCTGATGAGATATGTTATATATCACGAATATAATTATAAACTTCCTGGTTTTTTATTGTACACTATTATATAACAACACTAGCTTCAGCGCATGTCTCTGCGCAAGTTTGTCAATACCACTTTGTCGAGTCCATCAAATCACGTTTTCCATGACATATTACCCCTTGATGGAATTAGATCTAAAAGATATTGTCGTTGTAAATCGGTCGGCTTCGCGAATGGAAGCTGGTAAGAGTAAGGATGTCTGGGAAAGAAAGCCTGAAGACCGAGAGGAGCGGCTCGTAGTTGGGCCTGGTGGGCTTGCAGAAAGTTTTGATGTTGTCTTATTTGTTCTGGACTAGGTTTGTAAGCCGAGGGTATATTCAGTGGAGAGGAGGACGACGACATACTACTGTGTGATGGGGTCGGTGCAGGAGAGTTTGTTGCCGTCGTCGTTGTTGGTGTTGCTGGTGCCTGGGCTAAACTCTGCGCCTGCATTCTTTCGATCTCCTGCTCCTGCTGAAGAGCTTTAACGAAAGCACTCTTTAGTCGGTTAGTATGCTCTTGTTTCAAAGCCTTCTTTTGATTGGTGGTCACACACAACTCGCAAATAACATTTTTGGATCCTGGTTTCTCCCGTTTCCAAACCGGGGTATAATCAGCGTGACACTGTATACACGTGAACGGGTTACACACAAACTTCTCATCAGGATTCTTCTGTCCCTTGGCAATAAGTTGGCTGTCGATAATATGATTAACAACCTCTTCCAAACCCAGCATCATGATGAAATCTGGACACGCCAAGCTGGGTATAAAGTTCATCTCTGGTGGTGGAGGTTTAGGTGGTGGAATCTGTAACAGCGTCTTCTCTAACTGTTTCCTTAAAGCTAGCTTAGCGGCAGCTTGACGTTGCTGTGGCGTCTGCTCTGGCTGAGGTGGAGTGGCATTTTGTTGCCGTTCTCTTTCCCTCAAATTCTCTCGATCACGATCGCGTGCCATCTGCTGGGATTGGGAGGACTGTTGATGCGCCTGTCGGTAATTTTGCATGATGCTGTTGCTTGGAGACGATCCCGGCATCATGTTTCTCAGGTGACTATCTCGTGAAGACTGGTTATTACCCGCTCTAGGAGCCATGACTAGCGGAGGGGGGCCCTGCATACCGGGTCGTGAATGAGACACCTGTGGCGAACCCCGTATGGATTGAGACTGCACATTGTTACTATTAATAGATTTAGACGCGTGCATCTGCTGTTGCTGACTTCCCCGAACAAGCGGTGGTGGTCCACCATTTTGTCTAGGCACAGAGTTTTTGCTGTTGCGGTCACGTTCTTGAAGTGAATGGGTCAACTGACTCTGCTGTAATTTTTTCAGGAGAACAAGTTTCGCCTCTTCGTTTCGTAACTGCGACTGTAACTGTTTAATCAATTTTTTATTCACTCGGATCGTTTCTTCCGATTCTTCGTCTAAATATCCGTTAACATCAAAATCGACGTCCTCATCTTCCTCCTCGTTATCCGATAAAGTTATTACATCACCACTTGTTTTATACGTTAAATCCATGGCATTAGGTGATCCCGCGTTATTTTCCTTCTCGCTGTCATCAGATTTAATACCATTAGACACAGTCTGTACGGACTGAAGACCATTCGTCTCAGATCTTTCGCCATTTTTCGAACTTTTACTATCAAGGGAAGAGGAATCCATAGAACTTTCACTACTCTCATCTAATTTACTCCTGAAAGATAAATATATTATTTATAAACAGTGACATACTTACACGGGTTAAGCCATGAAAAATACACAATTCATTTTCAAATTTTCTGTTACTAACAATATTTTTGGAGACCTATTATCGCGAATAGAGCAAATGAATTTCACTTAGGATTGCAACCAATCTGATTAAATTTCGTTTCGTTTTTTATAGTTCAAAATTTCATTTTACTTGTCTGTACTACACTAGGATCTGGAAGAGTTGTTATATAATAGGCGTTCTAGTTGATGTGAGTAATTAGGAAATGAAACTGGTCAGATCTTCATGTAGTGTAGGCCATCGAAAGTATAAAAAAAACGAAACAAAATATAGAGCAGTATTCTAATCAGATTGGGCTGCAACAATACGCTAACCTCACAATACGATAAGTACATGTATCACGGTATAAACCTCACGATACAATATGTATCGCAATATCTTTTTTTTCCAAATTTACATAATAAATAAAACAAGTACATGACATTTAAATTGTCTCTAATTATTAATTACACTTCATATTTATTCAAATTGACATTTGTGGCAATAAATGGACTCAATTAATCTTGAGATACTGAGAGATCGAGTGAATTGCAGGGTAGATTATTTTTTTATCGCATCTTGCATGCGCATTTGAGTGTTAGGGGTGGGGGTGGGGTCTTACGAGTGGCATCGACGTTTATTAGTGGATAGTGACGCTTTACATGTATCGCCATGTTTGACGTGTTCCCAGTCTTATAGGAAACATCGGCATAACAATGGTGACACTTTGTTACATCCTTAGTCACGGCTTATCCATCTTTAAATCCAAAATATTCCAATATGCGAGATTTATGTTTAAGTAGAGGTGAATATAACTTCGGCGGGACATTGCTGGAAGCCATCTTTCCTCATTGTTACATGAACAACAGGGAGGCATAATTCTAGGAACAAAAACAGACGGTTAAAAAAATCTATGCCATGTTTACTGAACCTCAGTTTGCAATTAAAGATCCAAACCTAACCACGGCATGTATACCCTGGTATGCTGTCTCACGCGTCGCATAGTATGTACCAAACCGCAGTATGGATTTAAAAGTACAGTGAACTGAAATGTGGCATGTATACCGTTGCAGGTCTAATTTCACTGGTTTGTAACCATATTGTGTCAAGTTCAATTGCAGACAGGTGGCTGACAGTTCTTAGATTTTCTACAAAAATGAAATGAAATGGGATTTAACGTCCTACAGTTCTGCTCCAAACTGGGCTAATGAAGACGGGCATACACCATACAGTGTGCTATGAGGGAAATTTTGCCCGGGCAGCAGCACTCTTATATCGAATTCCAACTGTCAAGGGATCTTTTACGTGCACGCCAATGTGTACACGGGACCTCGGTTTATCATCCCATCCGAACGACTAGACAGCTGTCCTTGTCAGGTCATCTGTCCTGCATCACTGACAAGGGGGAACCACGCTGGAAAAATCTGGATGAACTTTCTCGGTCAATGCAAGGATCAAACACCCGACCTCCAGGCTAGCGAGCCAGTGGATTTTCTACAAAAATGATGAATGAGTATGCTTGGAGTGAAAAAAAATTATCAACAAAACTTGTTTCAATGGCATTTAGTACTTGAACTTTACACTACAACTACTGTTTATTACTGAGCGACATTTTGACTTGTCTTTATCACCAATACAGTAGTGTTCTTTTATAGAATTGGGTCTCATGTATTTCTGGTTCAAATATTAAAAGCAAAAGCTAAAGACTAGTTGAAACATTGGTCTGTAATATCAAAACAGTACAATAATTTGCTTGCGTGTAGGGGTCTTTAGCAGGGGGAGGAAACCTGAGGACCCGGAGGAATTCATGAGGTTGGGACAGACGACCCTTCTCCTGACATATACAATCGGGGAATCGAAACCACACCTGTTGACTCAATAACAAGACCTTATGATGCAACACGCACAAGCTAACCACTCTGCAATCCAGCCCCCCACACCAAGAAAGAATTAGATTAGCGAGTGTATGAACAAGTTCCTGGTTTAAATTAAGAGTTGTCTTACCTCTTTTCCGTACCGGTATTACTATTATCCATGTCCTCATCTTCTAGAAGTGGTCGCTTCCTGTCATTCGGTTCATCATTAGAGTTGTCAGCCATTCTGACACCTAAAAATACAAAACAAACACTGTACACCAGATAGCTTGGGAGCTTTATTCCTTTGCAATTAAACATACATTATTCAAGAGCTAAATCTACCTATAGCAGGTCTTTCTTTAGACCTTGAAAGTTATATAAACTATTAATTAGACATTTATTAACATGAAAAGACCTTAATCACCTCTTTAGGTCAATCAATGCACGCATCTTGTCAAAACCATTAACAGTGATAACTTGGCTCAGAATGAAGTAATTTGAATGAAAATTTCAATTTATCTATGTTGGAACTATTATAGCAACAACAGCCAACTCTTTATCCAAAATTCCATAGTGTATCTTTAATTCAAATGATTTTATTGAAAGAATACTTTTTTTTTAGCCCCCCCCCCCACAATATGGATTCCAAATCGTTATTTTCATAACATAAAAAACATAGTAGACAATATTGTATTCAATCTGCAAAACGATTACTTTCTTAAACTTCTCCCTTGTCAGTGGTGCAGGACGGAGGGGCTGACAAGGAAAGCTGTCTAGTCGTTCGGATGGGATGAAAAACCGAGGTCCCGTGTACACATTTGCGTGCACTTAAAAGATTCCTTGACAGTTGGAATTCGATACAAGAGTGCTGCTGTCCGGGCAAAATTTCCTTCATAGCACACTGTATGGCGTATGCCCGTCTTCATTAATAATTCGCTTGGGCGTAGCAGTCTTTAGCAGTGGGAGGAAACCGGAGAAAACCGACGAGGTTGGACAGATGACCCTACTCCTTGTCACATACATGTAAGCTTACATACATGACATGTACAACAGGGGAAGCGAAACCACACCAGTTGACTCAATGACAGACTTTATGATGCAGCGCGCACAAGCTAACCATTCAGCCACCACCCCCACCAAAATATGATATAGCGTGTCCCATTAGTAATAGAAAAAATACATCAGACATTAACCCTATTTAAAGGAGCTAAATCGCTAATATTTGGGATCTAGAAATTGACATAAATGGGTCGCAACGCATATAATAATGTAATATGAATGTATATAAACTGATTTACATTCAACGTTACCGTTTTTACTCTAATTTCAAATCAGTTATATTCGGCGAAATACCGCAGAAGTCTCAACCGAATGGCAGTTTCTAGCGTCTAGTTATTGCCGTCTACACCGATAATATGTCACTGTTTGACATGACTTGTGGAATATCTCTAGCCTCGTTCTTCGAGTCCCTTGTTACAAATGGCGCTGAAACGCATTATGGTACACGAATCGTGTACCAATGGTAAACTGTTTATTTTGTCTTAAATATTGGATATCAGAAGCCCATCATTTCCCGGTAAGATAACAACATCAATGTTGATTTAAATTGACAAACAAATTGAGTTTTCAGTGTCGAAGATTTTTGATGATATTGAGTTAGAGACCTAGCTACTTTAAATTAATACTTGATTTCCACCCAAATCAAAAAGGTTTATTTAGCTTCACTAAGCTCATTTCAAAATAACTAAGTACTAGTACCAAAATATGTTTATAATCCATGTGATGAGGATGGAATGGTCTTTCCTATTTTTTTTTTTAAAAAAAAAACAACAAAAAAAACAAAACAATATACATGTAACTTGATTGAATTGATAATTTGATTTAACAAGCAGACTATGGATTCGACTCAAATAGTAACAAAAAAAAAACCAAAAAAAAATTCAATTAAATACATAATAATAGGAGGCTAAAAGTAAATCTATATAAAAAGGAACAAATAAATTCACATAGGCCCACCGAGATAATCAAAGATGGGATTAATTCATGGCTTCAATTTTTATACATCCTTCTTCAAATAAAAACTTTGATAATAAGAAGCCATGTTTGTCTGATCTAATACATGTATGTATGGTTACTAAAAATAGAAATGTTCAAATCGAGGTTGTTAATGTATAATGGCAAACTATGCACAATGACACGCTATGATGATAAAATAATTAGGTCAATTTCAACAAAGACTGGCAAACCCAGCGATTCCGCCAGAAAATTCACTTCCTCAATATTTCCATGAACATATTTCTGCCTAAAATTGCCCCAATTGTTTTATCATAGTAAAAGGAAACAATAAAACAAAGTCCAATCAAAGTTTACTTATATCAGTAAACCAAAAAAGGTCAGGGCGCAGGCGATTGTGCATCGACTAAGTAGTCGGGCAATCATGCATTTACCGAGTCTAAGCTAGGCGATAACGCTACAAACCTGAAGATGATAAAAGCCGAAATAATACAAACTTATTGAAGGATTTCTTACGATAATAACGTCAGAATAACAACACGTGAAGTAAGGAAATTCCCCCCAGTTCTATGTTTAGAATCACATAATTTCCACCGTCTGGATTTGCCTCTGGCTCGAATTCTGTCGAGCTGATAAATCTGTCGGTTTTATTTAGATAAGTTATCGGTAAAAAGAGAAATCACATGCATTTCTCAGCTTCCAATGCCGTCATGGAAATCCAATACAAATATCGTGTTAGAAGAAAACTGTCAAGTATTATGTACACATTCTTTAATATTTAATAAGCGAGCGGAAAGGGCACTTACTCAGCCAGATGAATCCACTTCAAGAAGGGTGAATAAGGTGCGATAAGCAGACTGTTCTTATTTCTTCCTAATGGACATCAAGTTTATAGACTTCAATGTAAGAGAAGTTGTCTCGTTTTTATGAAGGCTTTGATTAGGTTATCGGTTTCCGGCTTGAATGCATATTCGATCTCTCAAATTTTTGTCATTGTTCCATTCTTCCGTCTATCCTTCAAATATGGCTGCCTTCAGATCATCTTCATGTATGGGGGTCTCAACTAGTTCATCAGGGAGCAAACAAACAAATTGTTTACAGATAAACAACTTAGAACTAATGATTGGATTGAAAAGTCACGTGATTCTCGAGGAAACCGCTACCGCGCATTATGTGACCGAAGTCTGTTGACCTTATTCTAAAAATAGAAATCTCCTTTTTCCATCTACACACTTTGACGGGATCTTTACTGATGGGTGTGTGTTCATGAAGAATAATAGTAATACACACTCTAAAACCATTCTGATTGGCGGAAAATACGTTTTTTTCTTATAATAATATGGGTCTTCATGTAATTTTTAACTTTTTGTTTTTTGATAAATAACAATAATGATCGATACATTTTAATTAATAAAATCACTTGATTTTGTTTACAAAAGAATCGAATGCTAGTTTAGTATATAAATAGTTTTGGGGGTAAATTTATACGTTATACTATTAACTGCAGAAAAGAGTATAATTTTGCCTTATATTCAAACTCGACAGAAGTTAAAACTATTTAGCACAATTTAATCGAAAATAATTAATACCATTAACGCGATGAAAAAAACAATCGTGCTTATAAATGTTCCGCGATTAAAGATCGACAGATGAAACGGACATAAAAATTCTGTATTTTATCATATGTTTAGTGCATGTGCACTTGACGCCTACAATTTTTAAAGCTTATCTGAATTACAAGTGAATTTTCTCCGGGTCCTCCGGTTTCCCCCCACTGCTAAAGACCCCTACGCGCAAGCGAATTATTGAAATAAAATTTAACCATGCGTTAGTCCCGAAATAACCTAGTTTGTGTCGAGTGGACGTTAAACCCCATCTCTCTCTCTCCTCTCTCTCTCTCTCTCTGAAATACAAGTTGTTTTATATAAATATCGCCATGGAATCAGTCGAGTCAGCAGAAACACTTTTTGGGAGCGACTCTTTTGGTCTGTTGAACTGAAATTAAGTTTTTTATTCTGTCGGAACAAAGAAGGATACACAAGACGCTTGATTTTCCCACGAAAACAGTTTTTAAACCATACAGTGTGCTATAGGGAAATTTGGCCGGTACAGCGGCACTACGGCCTATTCTTATATCGAATTCCAACTGCCAAGGAATATTTTAAGTGCACGCCAATGTATGTATACACGGGACCTCGGTTTTTTGTCCCATCCGAACGACTAGACAGCAGCTGTCCTTGTTCTGCACCACTGACATGGGGAAACCACGTTTGGAAATCGTTCTCGGTCAATGCAGGGATCGAACACGCGACCTCCAGGCTAGCAAGCCAGCGTCTTACGCACTTAGCCACCGTGGTACCTCTCCTTTATAAAAGAAATGCAATAATTAAAAAAATAATATATAAATTTGTATTATATTTTTCAAATAAGTTAATAAAGGGTTGGATGTTTACACCATTCAAGTATATGCAAATTAAAATGTTGAGGAAAGAAACTCAGTATTATGCGACTAGCGCTTTCGGTTCCTTGGGCGTTCGCGTTGTATCATAAGGTCTGTCAATGAGTCAACAGGCGTGGTTTCGATTCCCCGGTTGTATGTGACAAGGAGTAGGCTCGCCTTTCCAACTTCTTGGTTTTTCTCCGGGTCCTTCGAGTGCCTCTCACTGCTAAAGACCCCTACGCGCAAGCGAATTATTGAAATAAAATTGAACCACATGTTAGTCCCGAAATGACTTAGTTTGTGTCCCGTGGACGAAGCCCCCCCCCCCCCCCCTGTGAAGAAATTGTCGACCATAAAAACAATAGATATACATTGCCCGTCAATTTTACAGCACCCCCTGAGAACACTTCCCCCCCCCCCCTCGTTGCTCTGAGCTAGTTACGTCCCTGGTTTCCACCCATAGCTAATGGGTTTGTTCGTTTGTTCCTGGAGTTTTACGTCCGCTTCCACCAGGGGTGATATCGTAGGCTACGCCGAGAATTATTGAAATAGAACTGAAGGGTGGTCACGTGGTTTTTTTCAACTCTGTCCAGTCACAAGAATTGTCTAATCGGCGCATTTAATGACCTCATTAAAGTACTTTGAAATCGAATATATTGTCACATGCCATCTCCACTAAATACAAAGTCGATACAAACGCTGGTTTGTATGCAGCTATTTCGGGTGTGGCGCCAGACAGGATAAGCTTACTCTTCCGGACAACTGTTACCGCCCGCTGCCTGTCGTGTATTTTGTACACGGTGAACAGTTCATTTGTTGATTACACTATTTTGCCTATCAATACCGTTTTTTTAGGACTTCGAATATTTTGTCTAATGGTTTGGATTGTTCGTACTTGGTTTTATTTTATTTAGCCCAATATAACCCAGTAAATACACACCACACCTTGCAATATACAATGTTTAAAGGTGTGGGTTATAAAGATAAATATATATCGGTCTATTCCCCGTAACTTTAAGTAGGTAACTACTATACTCAGCCAAATTAAAAACTTGACACTTGGGACTAGATTTTTAATATTTGGTTTAAGGCAACTATTTTAGTGTTATGTTGTGCACAGACGACCTTGACATCAACAGAAAGCAAAAATACGTCTCGCCGAAAGTCCTTGACATTGATAACGTTCGTGATGTCACAGTACCCCCCAAAATGAAATTCACAGACTTGGAGAACAATCGGAATAAAGTGTTTAGTAACGGTTGTGGCCTCCTCTAGCGTCTCGTATACTGCCACACAACGTCTTCTCATGGTTCTCAGAACATTAGTAAACACTACCCGAGGAAGACGTCGCCACTGCTCAGCAAGAGCATGTTGAAGGTCCTGCAACGTCAGTGGTGGATTCGCTTGCTGTCGAACACGTCGACCCAGTTCGTCCCAGATGTGTTCAATAGGATTAAGGTCGGGGCTAAGCGACGGCCAATCCAGGACTTGGACACCGGCATTTCTTAAAAAAATCTGGGTAGCAATTGCTGTATGGGGTCGAGCATTTTCTTGTTGAAACGTTAGTCCAGGCCCATGTCTCTGCATAAACAGAAGAAGAACAGGTACTGGACAGCATTTAAGTTCCCTTGGACAACAACAAGAGGAGAACGTTCATGTGCACAAAAAGAACCCCAAACCATGACGCTGCCGCCACCAAATCGGTCAACTTCTCTGACGCATACTTGAGCGTAACGTTCACCTCGTCTGCAGTACACTCGGACCCTGCCATCGGCAAATCTCAAAGTGAATCGAGATTCGTCACTAAAGACAACCTAATTCCACTGTCTTTGAGTAAATCTTATGTGTCTTGTGGCCCACACAAGTCGGTTACGGCGATGAAGAGGTGTCAATATTGGTCCATTATAGGGCCTCCGAGCTCGAAGACCAGCAGCCTGCAAGCGATTTCGAACAGTTTGTGCAGTTACCCTTCCACCAAACATCTCTCTACTTGTGGAGGTTGCAGTGACAAATCTGTTTCTAAGATGACGTAATCGCATTGCTTGATCTTCCTTGCGGTCGGCAATATTTCCAGTTTGAAGCACTCTCATTCTAAGATTAATTATTGGCTGGCGTGAACAATTAAAGGCTCTTGCAATAGTGACAACAGACTGACCAGCATAGAGCCTACCTATAGCACGTAGACGTTCTACATTTGAAAGGCGCAGCATTTTCTAACAAAGATGAAAATAACAATTTTAATTTGTTTTTCCAGTTCAAGTTACGTGTGCGTGTTCGGTTTAAGCAAACTTGCATCGATTGACCTCACGAGTTTGTGTTTGCACGTGTTTTTCAGATTTTTCATCTTTATATTCTCAAAAGTCACGTGATCCACGTGACTTTACAATTTTATGAAATTAAAGGCTTCTTACTACTTACTATCGTTAGAAACACTTTAAAATTTATTTGACTTACCAGAAAAAAAAATTGTTGAAATTCATCAGTGTCAAGTTTTTAATTTGGCTGAGTATATGTCATATAATAATAAAACCCCAGTAAATACACATGTACACCACACCTTGCAATATACAATTTTTAAAGGTGTCCATTATACAGATAAATATATATCGGTCAAATGTTATTAGCACGTGTATTCCCCTGGAACTTCAAGTAGGTAACTAATGTGTCGTATAATAATATCTTCAGTACGATACAAGAAAACCCCGGTAAATATACATTTACATCACACCTTGCAATATACAATTTTTAGAGCTGTTAATTATAACGAGCAATCCATCGGTCTTGCGCGTGTATTCCCCGTAATATGCTAGCAGATCATAGTAGTATTACAGTATAACCTAAGCTTTCTAAACTGTAATAGCACACTCTCCCGACAATATGAACAGGTCTAATGTTTATGTTCACGCGTAACTCTTGGCAAAAATGAAACGGCTGGGCTAATGAAGGCGGGCATACACCATGCCAAAGCTGCGACACTATGACCTACTCTTATATCGAATTCTAACTGCCAAGAGAACTTTTAGGTGCACGCCAATGAATACACGGGACCTCAGTTTTTCGTTCCGTCCGAACGACTAGACAGCTGTCCTTGTCAGACCCTCCGTCCTGCACCACTGAAAAGGGGAAACCACGTCGAAAATCCCTCTGAACTTTCTCGGCCGATGCAGGGAACAGACATGATCTATCATTTGCGCCATCAAAAGAGAGAGAGAGAGAGAAATGGGGTTTAACGTCCACTCGACACAAACTAGGTCATTTCGGGACTAACATATGGTTTTAATTTTATTTCACTAATTCGCTTGCGCATAGGGGTCTTTAGCAGTGGGAGGAAACCGGAGGACCCGGAGAAAACCCACGAGGTTGGACAGGCGATCCTACTCCTTGTCAAGCGCCATCAAGAATACACTGGATAATAAATTTGGACAGCCAAAGATAAAAAAAAAAGAAGTAAAATGAAAATCAAATTCGGTTTAACGTTCCACTGCTTTGCTCTGACTAAAAAAAAAACGAAGAAGTATACATTCAAAGGTTGAACCAAGTGACGACCTCCAATCTGATTAAAATACAGATCTATATTTTGTTTCGTTTTTTTATACTTTCGATGGCCTCTACTATACTACACCCGACGATCCGTTTCAAGAAACAGAGGCACACGCCCGCCCTGTAAAGACCTCCTCGCGTACAAACTTGGTGATTTTGATGATATATTTGGACTAAACACATATTCATACTAATTAATCTATCAAAAAGTTGCTTCAAATTCCTCTCACAACATTGTATTTGCGAGGAAATACCACAAGTTATAAAAAAACCTATGAAAAGAAGTCATGCGTGTGTGTGTCACGTGATTTGGCTGTCACGGTACCTAGCAACTGGTGCAAAGCCGGAGTAGAATTCATTGCATATAATCGATGATGTAGTTTTTAACCGCTGTCCATTTATCGAAGCCTAAGTTAATTCTCGGATTACCCCCTGCCCACGTCTTATCCATGGTTTTTATCTCAGAAACTGTTGTATGTTTCAGTCCGCTCACCATCAAGTTCATAAACATACACATAATTTTTCCTACACATCTATGCTAAAATTTCTAAAGGAAAAAATAAAGTATTTTATAGGTTTTTTTTATAGTGTTTCCTATAGTAAATAAAGACCCCCATATATTCTACAGTTTCTGTAGTGCAAATCCCATAATTTTTCCTACACATCTATGCTAAAATTTCTAAAGGAAAGGTTTTTTTTATAGTGTTTTCTGTAGTAAATTCTACAGTTATCTTTAACATTTGTCCCATTTTCTTCAGTTTCTTGTTAATACTAACTTCTATGAAGTTGTACATGTACATTGAATTTAAAAATTTAAAATTCAGACAATGTACAGTCTTTATCCAGATTTGAAATATTTTAAAAACTTAGCTGCCACACTAACATTGTTTCTTTTCAAATATGGTCGTATACGTGAGTGGCCTGTATACAACGCTAAAATGGCCGTTGACCGAGATTTCACTGTACATTGGTCTAACATAATATTATGATGATACTATACAGTAGAGAGAGAAAGGGGGCTTTAGCTTAGGGGTCTTTAGCAGTGGGAGGGGGAACCAGAGGACCCGGAGAAAACCCACGAGGTTGGACAGGCGACCCTACTCCTTGTCACGTACAACCGGGGAATCGAAACCACGCCATCTGACTCAATGGCAGACCTTATGATACAACGCGCACGCGCTAACCATAAATGAAATGAAATGAAATGGGGTTTAACGTCCTACTGTTCTGCTCCTAACCTGGGCTAATGAAGACGGGCATACGCCATACAGTGTGCTATGACTATGAGGGAAATTTTGCCCGGACAGCGGCACTACGGCCTACTCTTATATCGAATTCCAACTGCCAAGGGATCTTTTACGTGCACGCCAATGTGTACACGGGACCTCGGTTTTTCGTCCCATCCGAACGACTAGACAGCTTTCCTTGTCAGCCCCTTCGTCCTGCATCACTGACAAGGGAGAACCACGCCGGAAAATCTGGATGAACTTTCTCGGCCAATGCAGGGATCGAACACCCGACCTCCAGGCTAGCGAGCTAGCGTCTTACCCACTTAGCCACGTGATCCCCCGCTAACCATAAGGCCACCCAACGTCCTCTATACAGTAGAATATTCTATTGATACAGTCTATTGATAGCTAGCAGAATACCCGGCTTCGCCCGGGGCCCAATTGGCCAAGGACCCAGTTCGCCAAATTCTATGGCCTAAAACTTTTACGCCCGCAAGCTGGTTAATTTAATGCCACATATTGTGGTGGTGGAGTGCGCCGACGAAGCGTGATGGGAGAACATGCATACACGCTTCGAGATTCTCTAATAAAATGAGGTATTAACCTGAAATTGGTATTCAATTGAGAAAACTTCAGTCACGTTTCTCCAGTTGTTTCTTCTATATTAAGAGTAAATCTGTCCAAGTGTCGTCTGTTTTGTATAGGCTCACAACAGCTCTCGTTTGTATGTCACCTTCTGTAATCGAATTTCCACAAAGTATAGATCGGAATACAATAAATTAAGTATATACTTTTAAAAGGTTGCATGGATAAGGTGAGAGAATTTAGAAACGGATTATTTCTCCCTTACACTTCCAGTACCTAGAGGACGATCCTTGATTCTAAGGTTGATTTTCGTCCATAACGGACCAACTGAATATCTATTAAAGGTAGTTTCCTTAAAATCCAGATCTCCTTAAAGATACATTATGGAAGATTAGATAAAGAGCTGGTAGTTCTCACTATAATAGTTAAAAACTAGATAATGTAAAGGGAATATGCTGAAAATTTCAGTCAAATTGCTCCACTCTGAACCGAGATATTAGCGATTAAATTTTAGCTCTAGCCTCGATCATCATTACTAAAGTCGGTACAATAAAAAAACATAGTCTCGATTATCCATTTTTGAATTTAATCATTAATGACTTTGAGCAGCTGATCGGATTCAAATCCTGTGAAAATCTGACACATAAGATGGCACCGAGAGTTGATTAAGGTCTTTTGGTGATAATTAATGTCTAATTAATAATTTAGATAACATTTAAGGCGTAAAGAAAAACTACAATAGATAGTTTTAGCTATTGCATAATGTATGTTTAATGTTGGGAAGGTTTTCTCACTTTAACTTTTTAAAATTTAACACCATTCTATAGTTGGAGTAACCGTAAGTCTACAATAATGGACGGGGATGTAAAACCCCTATTCACCATACCAAGCAGTTAACCATATATACATCTGTTATCCATCTTCAGGCCAGTTGAGGAAGGGGATCGGGCTGATTATGGCGGGGATCGGGCCTTTTGGGGGGTGGGATGAGGCTGGTTGGAGGACGGGATCGGACTGGGATCAGGGCAGTTAGAGCTGGGGAAGGATCAAGCTGGTTAGGAGAGGGGATCAGCATTTAGAGAATGAGATTAGTCAAGTTGCAGAGGTGGTCAGTCCAGTTGGGGAGATCAGGCCAGTCGAAGATCAGACCAGTTGGTGAGATCAGTCCAGTTGGGGAGATCAGGCCAGTTGGAGGAGGAGGAGATCAGGCCATTTGGAGGAGATCAGGTCAGAGAGAGAGAGAGAAATGGGGTTTAACGTCCACTCGACACAAACTAGGTCATTTCGGGACTAACATATGGTTTGATTTTATTTACATAATTCGCTTGCGCGTAGGGGTCTTTAGCAGGAGGAAACCGGAGGACCCGGAGAAAACCCACGAGGTTGGATAGGCGACCCTACTCCTTGCCACGCCAGTTGGTAGGAGAGAAACTTAGGCCAGTTAGAGAGCTCATCTAAAGCCAATTATAGACAAAGAAGAATCTTCAGGATATTTGAAGCCTGGCCAAACTTTTGTTTAGAGGTTGCGCCTGGACTCCATGTCATACCTATTTTGAGAGATAGGGAGAGAGAGATGGGGTTTAACATCCACTCGACAGACTAGGTCATTTTGGGATTAACATATGGTACAATTTTATTTCATTAATTCACATACACATAGGGAGGAAACTGGAGAAAACCCACGAGGTTAGACAGGCGACCCTACTCCCTATCACATACAAGTGGGGATTTGAAGCCACTCCACTTGACTCAATAACAGACCTTACGATGCAATGCGCACCCACTAACCATTTGGCCCCCCCAGCTTATTTTGATCTAAAATATTTGTCCACTCCCAGTCACTCAAACTGACATATGTAGATTTAAACAGGTCACAATTCTATGGAATACAATTACTGCTTATAACTGAGCGACGTTTCGACTAGGCAATGATTGTATTCCATAGAATTGTGACCTGTATACACCAGTTCAATTACTAAATGCCATTGAGACAATTTATAGTAGATTTGCTGTCATTTATGACAACTGACTACATCCTTTCATCAAGATCAGGTATGAACACAGAGAGAGAGAGAGAGAAATGGGGTTTAACGTCAACGCTCAACTCGACACAAACTAGGTCATTTCGGGACTAACATGGTTTAATTTTATTTCAATAATTCGCTTGCACGTACGGGTCTTTAGCAGTGGGAGGAAACCAGAGGACCCGGAGAAAACCCACGAGGTTGAACAGGCGACCCTACTCCTTGTCACCTACAACAGGGGATTCGAAACCCCGCCAGTTGACTCAATGACAGGCTTTATGATACAGCGCGCATGTGCTAACCATTCAGCCATCCAACCCCCCAGATATGAACAGAAAAGGCTAATAGCAAACTTAATTCATTCTTTATAAACAACAGACAATAAAATACATAGAAATCCATTTGTACACACCTACATGGAAATTAATTTGTACAGTATTTAGATCTAATATGGTATATATAATGATAATTTACACAACATGAGATGGTATGATGATATATTACATAGACCTACACATATTATAGGACTTTTCATTAATAAAAAATTAACAAAATTTACACATTACTTTGTACAGGGTATTATGAATGGTTGTTTTTTTTTGGTAATAATATTATAAATTATTAGCTGTTTAACTGATGTTTCACCGGTAGAGTCCTCGGACTCTTCGTGAAACAGGAAGTAATAGAACTCAGGAATTGACAGTACAAAGCCACCTGACCAATGTTAACTCTTATACCCAAACTTTAAGCCTCGGGGCAGCCCTAGTATATTGACCAACTGTCGAGACAGCTTTAGATTAGCCACCAACCCTAGGGACAGCCCTAGTTTAGCCACCAACCCTAGGGACAGCCCTAGTTTAGCCGCCAACCCTTGGAACAGCCTTAATTTAGCCACTAAACCATCAGGACAGCTCTAGATTAGCCACAAACACTCGGAACACTGCTATTGTAGCTGCCAGCCTCGCTCAGCCACCAAACCTTGGGGGACAGCCCTAGTTTAACCACCAACCCTTGGGGGACAGCCCTAGTATAGCCGCCAACCCTAGGGACAGACAAGCGACACTCACAGGTATAAATAAGACTAGTTCTTCTGGTGTCACGTATCTTCTTAGAAGATAAATAATAAACGTGAGATATCTGAAGTGACATTTGCAATCAAACCTATTTCCGATAAAGATTTTATAAGATTTCAAACTAATTCAAACCTATTTCCAATAAAGATTTTACAAGATTTCAAACTAATTCAAACCTATTTCCGATAAAGATTTTACAAGATTTCAAACTAATTCAAACCTATTTCCAATAAAGATTTTACAAGATTTCAAACTAATTCAAACCTATTTCCGATAAAGATTTTTACAAGATTTCAAACTAATTCAAACCTATTTCCGATAAAGATTTTACAAGATTTCAAACTAATTCAAACCTATTTCCAACCTATTTAAAAACCTATTTCTGGTAATTAAAGTTTTACAACTCTTAGTGGCTTAAACAAATACAGATATGCCTTTTGTTAAAGATTTTATAAGATCTGAAACTAATTCAAACTTATTTCTAGCAACTAAAGTTTTACAATTTAACTCTTAGTAGCTTAAATATAACTAATTAAAATGTATACTATATACTTAAAATGTAAGTATCCGATTCTGATAATACAGACAACTTTCACAAAATGCGTTTTAAAGATTTTATAAGATTTCTAACCTATTTTCGGTAATTAATAACTCTTAGCAGTGGGAGGAAACTCATGATGTTGGACCCTACTCCTCGTCACGTACAAGTAGGAAATCAAAACCACGTCACTCAACTCAATGTCAGATCATATGATGCAAATACGCACATGTTAACCATTCGCCGACTCCCTTTTTTTTTCAAGGAACAGGGGAAGTCAATATTTACACGTACAAGCGAACTAGGATTTCTTTTCTAAGTACCGTCTTATTAAATCACTTTATTATGCATTTGCGTAATTCTATCAGTGCCCTGAATTAGACCTAATTTGCCTGGAAACATAACTATTTGTCTTGTCTTCTATTATCATTTTCTAGAGATGGGTTTGTAAATATCTTGATCTAATAAAAGTGAATTTACATAAAAATATATATTACTGATATATTCTTCAAATAAACACATAGAAACCAAATAACTAATACCTCGAATTATCTTTATTATTTATTGTAGAGCTATCCTTATTATTTAATATACAGAGCTATCATGTTTGACTATCCTTATTATTCAATATTTAGAGCTATCCTTATTATTCAATATGTAGAGCTATTCTTATTATTCAATATGTAGAGCTATCCTTATTATTCAAAATGTAGAGCTATCCTTATTATTTTATATTATTTAATATTTAGAGCTATCCTTAATACTTAATATGTAGAGATGACCTTATTATTTATTGTAGAACTATCCTTATTATTCAATATGTAGAGCTATCCTTATTATTTAATATTTAGAGCTATCCTTATTATTCAATATGTAGAGCTATTCTTATTATTTATTATGTAGAGCTATCCTTATCATTTAATATGTAGAGCTATCCTTATTTGTAGAGCTATCCTTATTATTTAATATGTAGAGCTATCCTTATTATTTAATATGTAGAGCTATCCTTATTTGTAGAGCTATCCTTATTATTTAATATGTAGAGTTATCCTTATATTTGATACACAATTATCCTTATGAATATGTAAAAACGACATCCTTTCCTGTATAGATATTTTCCCCACTTTCACCGATAGTTTACAGAAATAGCAATCGCGGATTGAAGGCAGTTCACCTTTAGATAATAAAAGTTGACAAAAACAGAAACATTAACCAAGGTATAAAGTGTCTAGAGCAACAGATATTAGTTTTATCACCAATCTGTAGTATATAATTGCATTTATTTTAGTGTAAAATCGAATGAAGAGTTTACATTTTTTTTTTTTAAAAAAAAGATAAAAATTTCACAGAATTGTAACGGTAATTCTAAGTTCCCACTGTCGTGCGATGCGTTACGATAGTCATGTCCCTGTTGAGTCCACGATCTGGTACGATAATATCAACATGACTGACATCAATATATGAATATGATACGACCTGACAGGATCACCACGATTTCAATCCTAGCGCGAATTAAAAAGTACAGAATTAAATCGTCTTACTATTTACAGACATACCGAACTAAATGTACTGATGGTTAGTGCTAAATGATAAGGCCAGCTCAATTTTTCGTCATTAGTCACAAGATGTAAACAGGGTTAGCGCTAAACCCAACCCTAACCCTGGATCTAGCCCCAATGTTTAATTTAACCTCCCCAACAATCCCTTACTCTAACCTTATTTACATCTCTGCGACCTTGACAAAAATTGAGCTGGCCTTAACAAATAGATTTAGCCATGTACTGACAACTATATGATGATCATAAAAACAATGTCAGCATTTCCAACATTAAAATTCTTATATACAAGCAGTTAAAATTAAAAAAAATATATATATCCCGTTTAAAACAATACATTCTTAACAAAGATGATTAACTTTAATATCTGCAGCCTAAGGCCTGTTTTCAACGTACGTGTTTCTGCCCGGTTACATGGAAACGTTCCAATTACATTTGCATTACAGTGACATTTTCGTCGGCAATACGCATACATGGAAATCAGGCAAAAGATGCATGCTTGTCAGAGACGATTAATCTTCATATCTGCAGTCTAAGGCCCGTTTTCAATGTACGCGTTTCTGTCCGGTTATATGGAAACGGTCCCATTATATTTGCATTAGATTGATATTTTCGTCGGCGAAACGCATACATAGAATACAGGCGAAAGATACTTACTTGTCAATCAGTATGAATAATACAAGAACCAAGTCAACTGAATACATCAGAGCACAATAAATAACATAATCTGATGAAAACACAGATCTATATTTCATTTCGTTTGTTTTTTTACTTTCGATGGCCTACACTACATGAAGATCTGACCAGTAATAGTGGGAGGTTGCCTCACGGGCCGTAAGAGCAACGTTTGACCCTATGATGTTAGTCATTCAATTAATCAATCAGCGTTTGCTTTTAAAATGGCTCTTTGAAAATACAGCTTTTGCTTTGTTTGGTTTTCTATCGCTGCTGAGGCACACAACGAGAATCTGACATGACAGACCGTTCCATTGGCTAATCCCTCGCACCTCACACAACCCAGGTTATTGAACAACTCTTCCAGATCCTGAGTAGTGAAGACAACCCAGGCTAATCCCTCGCACCTCACACAACCCAGGTTATTGAACAACTCTTCCAGATCCTGAGTAGTGAAGACAAATAAAAAATTTAGATTATAACAAAAAACGAAATGAAATAAGATCTGTGTTTTAATCCGATCGTAAATAACACTGACTGAATCGATTAGTTATACAAAATAAAATCATCAAAAATTCAAATCAAATGATTCAATTAATTACAGCCAAGAATTATAGCACAGTCTTAAACTACTGAGGCCTGTTTCACGAAATTTTAACTAAAGATAAAATCCAAATTTTAGTAGATACTTCAATTTTGATTGGCTAAGCACTAAAATCAGTCTAATATTATCCAATCAAATTACTAAAATTTGGATTTTGTCTTAGTTAAAATTTTGTGAAACAGGCCCCTGCTCTCGATGGTGCTTCATATCACCAGAGTCACATGAATATTAAACTGTCAACTAAGGAAGGCTTGTATACTAGTTCTGTGATTTGGGCATTTCGAGATGATCTGGGGGCCATTAGTTTTAGGTGTTTTTAAAAAAAAAAGCTACAAAATCCAATGTTAAAAAAGATGAATATTTTCAATTTTTTTCAGAACAAGGGTAGTCAATATACACAGAGAATCTCCTACGAGTCTTTTTTGATATCAAAAAAGACGAGTAGGAGATTTTACTTATCACCCAATCCTTTCTTACATGCACATAGATTTCACTTTTACTGAACCTGATTACATTACGGCGTAGTGATACATCATTTTTTGACAGCAATTCAACCACGGCAAAGTCCTTTTTATTGACCCAGTGTTTCCATCAAGGCCAATTAAATAAAAATTGTTCTATTTTATTAAGAAAGAAGTAACTTTTAATAAAAAAATGAACTGTTCTTTGAAAATAAAAAAAAGTGGTTCCTTTTTGATTGACCAATCAAATTCATGTAAAGCGATAACTCCTCAGCAGTTGATTATGAAATTTATCACACAAACGATATCTACTGTAGAATGTATTATTGGGTGATATATTAATTTACCAGGGGTTTTTAATCAAAGTTTGATCAAGGGGCACAACGTCTGCTTAACGTCTTATTTGTATTTTAGTTTATATATTTTATTCCTATATTTAATTCCTGTACCATATATTTTAAAGCGTACCCGAGCACTTAGTCGTGCGATATAGAAATGTACAATAATGATACTAATAATCTTTTGTTCTTAGTACTTTCACAAATTGTTCAGAATCTGTACAAACAGAATCATAACGACCCACAGGAAACCCACGAGGTTAGACAGGTGACCCTACTCCATGTCACATACAAATGGGGAATCGAAACCGCACCACTTGACTCAATGACAGACCTTATGATCTAAAGCACAAGCCTTAGACCATTCGGTCACCAAACCCCTTTCGTTTGAAAACAGATATTACCATCCCTGTAACGACGTAACCCCCACCCAGTTATTATTAAAATGTATTTCCATCTTTAAATTTATATGTAAAGAAGTAAAAGTGTGAAGGGAAATTTTATAACTCGACTTATGAACTATTCAATAATGCTGCTTTTTCCACAGTTGATTAGTCTACCAACAAATTACAATGTACACAAACTACAAATAAACAAAATCCAGTCACCATGCTGTTGTTGTTGTTGTTGTTGTTGTTGTTTAAACATACATTATGCAAGAGGTAAATCTGCCTAATGCAGGTCTTAGTTTAGGCCGGAAATGTTATCTAAATTATTAATCAGACATTAATTAACTTATCCAGACCATAATCATCTCTCGATCTTATCGCTAGCCTATGACATTTACTGAATTTGAATACATTTTGTGATGGATGATTAAACGTCAAAATGGATAATTGAGACTATCTTTTTATTGTCCTGACTTTAGAAATGATGATCGAGGCTAGGCCAGAAATTCAATTGTTAATATCTTGGTTCAGATTGGAGCAATTTGACTGAAATTTTAGCAAATTCTATTTAAATTATCTATTGTTAAACTATTATAGCGAGAACTGTCAGTTCTTTATCTAATCTCCCATAACTCCCCTTTAAATAAAATCACAAATTTGTTGATGTAAGTGAATTTCAATTTACGTTAAGTAAGGAATTAATTCGTCAGTCATGGATTTTAATAAAGAAAAGATAGCGAAATGAAATAAAATGGGGTTTAACATCCTACTGTTCTGAACTGTCTTGGTTAATGAAGATGGACTGTGATTACAATAGCACTATGAGTAGAGAAAATCAACATCGGTTTCTACATGTATTTTATCAACATGCCTACAGCATGACTCTGAAAATCACAGACTCTATAAAAGTCAATATTATTAGGGTCATATAAAAAACATATTCCGGATTTCACCAATAAAAAGGGCTACATGATCCGTTTTATTTCAAAACACAAAAAAATAAGACCGTATCTAGTTTCCCAAATCTGAATGGATAAATATTTAAAAGGACAATATACAGCCATTTTCAAAATTGTTTGGCTTGCCAAAACAAGGAGTAAGAAAAACATGCAAAAGAGTCCACTTGTTTTCAAAGTTATATACTCAACAATTAGGTTACCTTTAATCAATGTCAATCCTGGACATTCAGCACCTGTCCTAGACTTTGTTAGACACAAATGATCACACAACATTTATAATATAATAATTTTTGTTTAACAAAGTCAGGGGTAATTGCTGTATGTCCAGTCTTGTCAATAAAGCTATAACATAGTCAATCTGGTTAAACACAGATCCTATTTTGTTTCGTTTTTTATAGTTCAAAATTTCGTTTTACTGTCTTCACAACACTAGGATCTGGAAGAGTTGTTATATAACCAGCGTTCTGATTAATATGTGGGATTACCCAATGAAAGGGTCTGTTACGATGAGTTCTTAGCGTGCGGTGCACAGAACTGTGGTGTAGACCATCGAAAGTATAAAAAGACGAAACGAAATATAGATGTGTATTTTTATCAGATTGTAACATAAAATGCTTAAACTGGTTTTAAAAATAGGCTATTTGATGTCAAATCAAACCATAGATAATGATTCCACTGATTGAGGAATCCTTTTAACCCACAATATCGTGATAGCCCACCACAATATCGTGATAGCCCACCACAATATCGTGATAGCCCACCACAATATCGTGATAGCCCAGGCCTGACAATATACCTGACAAAATGTCAGGCATTAATGAAATAGTACCGGACATTTTTTAATAATATCAATAAAAAAGACAAATCAGTGCTGGACAAAATGACAGGCACCAGAGGTTTATTGCCTGACAACGTCTGAATCTGTGCCTGACATTGTCTGTGACCGGTGCCTTATTTCCAGGCTTGGACTGAAAGCTGAATCTCTATAAGATATATTAGTCCAAGTATGGTTCCGTTCAGTATTAACAATATTGAGATGAATTGAAAGACTATATATAATTTTCGATAACATATACATTAATTTTTGGATTCTCTTTTGGTGCTTTTTCAGATTTCTAAAAATTGTTAATGTATTTGAATATTGGTTGATTTTACTGAATCAAAATATAAAATATTTATTATTGGAGACAAAAAAAAAAAAAAAAAAAAACTTGTTAAATTTCATTAGTTTTAATTGACAATGAATAATGGAATCCCCCTTATCCCCCCAAAATCTGGTCTGAATTATTTGATTGCAAATATCCTCACAATAAATAGTCACCACAAAAACCTCAAGAAATAAATGTATCCCTAGTGAAGAGTATACAAGCATTAAGGATGATGATACACACACACACACGAACGCACGCACGTGCTATGATTAAATGTCTGGTATGAATTTTGTTGGTTACGAAAGGAAAACATCACAGTCAATGTATGTGAAGAAATTCCCGCTTTGTAAAAGTCACAACCACAAATTTTGACGATCTTTACTATTTCTTTGTTTTCAGTATTTCCTGACGAAAATCCTTAGGATTCCACATTTTCTATGTTTTTTTTTTTAAAAAATAATCAGGAAGTTATAATCACCATGGCAACTAACTCATCATTTCATTTAATTATCTCGGTAGATTGCATTTCTCTTCAGTTCTTCTTTATTTCACTTTGAGCACTTTTTTTTTTCATCTCGCCATCCTGTCACCATGGATATTAACCGTTCACTGTAATTAACCGCCTCCTCACCGCGCGTTAACGCAGCTCCGTAAACTAGTGTATATCAGTCCAGTATATAGAATACACAAATACACTTTATAATCGTCTGTTCACGAGAAGCGTCGTCACAATTTCTCCGTTTAGCACATCAGGTTTACCACTCCTGATGGTCCGTGTATATACGACGACGCTGAAGAGCCCGGGGCAGTGAGTTCCATTAGCCAATCAGCTAATTGGGTTTTAAAGAAGGATAGACATTGGTTGTTACAGCATTCCACTAGTACCAACAGCACTACTACTCAGATGAAACGGACATTCGCCGTCTGTCCACTGAAAAATTAAATAGCGAATAAATTGAAATAAAATGGGGTTTAATTTCTTAATCTTCTGCGTGAGCAGGGGGCTGTGGTCTATTCATATTTTTAATTCAAACTGTGAAGGAATATTTTATGTACATGCACTGTAACCCACGTATCATTTAATCTTGCGTACATTCACTAACAAATCTTTGTTTAAAATTTCACAAAAATTGTCTAAAATTACCCCAAATCATCTCATTTGTACCTGCGTCCAGTTTAAAGTTGGCCATTTAATTTTGGTAATGAGTGTCCAATTGGCAAGCATTTAATTTCCTGACCACTGTTCAAAATAACTCATGCTCACATGATCTAAAGCCAATGTGTACACGGGACCTTGGTTTTTCATCCTTGTTAGTGAATTGAAATGAGGTTTAACGTCCTACTGTTCTGCTCCAACTGGGCTAATGAAGACAAGCATATGCTATACTGTGTGTTATAAGGGAAATTTTGCCTGGGCAGCAGCACTATGGCCCACTCTTATATCGAAATCCAACTGCCAGAGGATCCTTGTCAGGCCCTGATAAGGGAAAACCACGCCGAAAAATCCCGTTGAACTTTCTTGGTAAAGCCAGGAGCTAACCTGCAACTACGCCCCTTTCGGAATAGAACATGTATATAAATATATTACCTGTATTAGTCCATGTTCGGATAATTGGGATGATTGAAAATGATCTTTAAGTAGTGACTGGGAGAAATTAGTATGCATCATATAACCTTCTTCAGCATTTACATTATCACCAGATAATCTATATAAATCTATAATAATAATAATAAAACAACCATCTCTACATTATCTATAATATAACAAGATTATACAAGCCTTGAAATAACTGCTAAGGTTCAGCCTGACATCATGTCAGGCTGAACTGATTTTCGGCCAGACATTTCAGATTTTCAGCCTGACAAATACTTTATAAAGTATATTAAACCAAAAAACTGTTGAAATTTACTATGTTTATATATATTATTATACATACATTTATTAATAAAATAAATTGATGACTCACATACAACCTTGAGTTTTAAGTTTTTATATGTATATGGAATACAACTTTATAGTTCATATAATAATGTCATTAATCTCTTTGGTGGGGCTGGGGACTAAATCCTAAAAACTCTGGTTAAGATTCAAATTTAACTAAAGAATAGACATCTTGAGTTGTCGTAAATGGTTCAAAATCTGCCAAGTCATTTTTGATCCACTTTTCTACGGTTCGTGTTTGTAATTTTCGAACTGGTGACGGCGACGGCCCCCGTTTAGAAGTGTCTTTATGAGAGACATAAGACACAGTACCAGTTTTTGAATTTTCTGGAATGGTCCCACTAGCCAGGATATCCGTGTCCGAGGGTTGGGAAAAGTAAGAAGTTATTTTATTCGACATGTTTTCACGGCTCTTCTATTTACATTCACATCGGAAGTGTCCAACAAAGTGAGATATTTTCGTATAAAAAGTCTGTCCCTAATTACATCCATAGTCAACTTGAACATTTTCTTGTAAACTAATTTTAAAATATTATTACTTTTATTACTAATAATTTATATAATTACATGTAATGTAAGGTGTGATTTAGAGCTAATAATATACGAAAGTAACACAAAGCTAGCTACGAGACTCGAATAACCAGTGTAAAAGAGCCGATTCTCAATATTATTCATTATTTTATCTTCACGCGGCCGAGAGAGATACATGTATAAATAGTAATATTTTTATTATGACTCGGGTCGTTGATATAACCAGCGTAAAAGAGTCGATTCTAAACATTATTGAAGATTTTATCTGCACGCGGCCGAGATATAAATAGTAACATTTTCACTATGACTCGGGTCATTGATATTTTTGGTTCTGGACTTTCGAGTCTAATAATAAATAGTGATCGACTCGAATATTTTTGACTTAATGTTTTACAAAAACACGGTCGGACAATTATGTCCGGACGAAAGGCAATTTGGCCTGTCAAAAGGGGTCAATTCGCCGGGACATTGTCCGTGTCCGGACGCTTATTTCAGCGCTTGACAAGATATAACATTAAAACAACCATCATTATAGCATCAACAATGTTCCACCTTTTGTAAACAATAAATCAATGAAATAATAACAGGTTGCCAGGCAATGAAACATAAACCTACAGCAGCTATTTATTCATTTGTATTTAATGAGAGTGTTACAAGACACTGATATCAATTTCATACAAATCAGATGATAACTTTTGTCTTTCACAGGGTTCAAAAAGTGAATCAATGGCCATTACAGAATTTTTTAAATTTTATAGGCTTCCTTGTTTTACAAATCTAAATAACGTATATGAATTTAATTAAAATTGGATAATAACTTTAGTCGTTAAAGCGTTTACAAGTTTCAACAAGGATAATAACTCTAGAATTAATAAATAGAAATTGCTGAATTTCAATTGGCTTCTTCGTTTTACTAATTTAAATAATGCATATAAATTTTATACAGATCGGATGATAACTTTAGTGGTTAGAGTGTTCAAAAGGTTCTACAAAGTGAAAAAGGACCGTAACTCTAGAAGTAATAAACAGAAATTGCTGAATTTCAATCTGCTTCATCATTTTACTAATTTAGATAATGCATATCAATTTAATACAGATCTTTAGTCGTTCAAAAGGTTCTACAAAGTGAAACAAGGACCATAACTTTAGAAGTAATTAACGGAAATTGTTGAAATTAAATAGGCATCTCCGTCTAGCTAACGTAAATAAAGTATATAAATTTCAAAAAGATCTGATTATAAATGTAGTCTGTAGAGGGGTTACAAGAAATTGTGGACGTTGGACAAAGGCGACGACAATAAATAACCACATTTCCATGCGGGCAAATAAAAAGGATAGGAATTTACCTTTTAATAACGAAGAAGCCCATAGCTGTACGTGTACATCGGGTATTTTACCAGCTAACTGCATGGCTGGCGTCACCATATTCATTGCTTCCTGTAAATACATAGTTATAAACATATAATATAATCCTAATAAGACATATAGAAATAGATTTCACTAAAAATTAACACACTTATATGGATATACTACTTCTGAATTTTATTAACATTCTAAGTTTCAATACACATACAGGTATCGTTATCAAGAAAATAATCATATAAATATATAAACTACATAATATTCATTGCTTCCTGTAACTATATTATATACTATTCAAAAAAAGTAGGGGATATTTGATTTTGGGGGCATAATACTAAAATATGCAAATGACTACGAAAAAAGTCACTATAGAACCTAACAGAAGAAACATTTCCAGTTACATGTGACGCCCAAACGCACCAATAGCTACCGCATGGAATGCAGGTGATGCTTGGGATCATCATGGGGGTCCAACCCAAGATTTGCACGACTCTGACTTTGAATGTTACAGTCATTGTGGCATTGAATTCCAGGGTGGAAACATCAGTTTAATTGTTTTAGTGACCAGAAAACAAATTTTGATATGCGTCGGCTTACCCAAAATTAAAGGTTACGTGCCCTTGGCATGCTACAGATCGGCATAACACAGGCGGTTGTGGCGCGGCCGATGAATGTTTCTCAGTCTGTCATAAGCAGGCTATGGTCCAGATACCGTGATACACAATCTGTACAGGACAGACCACGCTCAGGTCGACCAAGGGCGACAACTCAAGCCCAGGATCGATTTATCCGTACCTTGGCCTTGAGAAATCGTGTCATCACAGCAAATCAGATCAGCGCTCGTCTTCAAACAGACACTGGTGTGAGAGTGAGTGGCCAGACGATTCGGAATCAACTGCATAGGGGTCACCTTCGCGCCCGACGTCCTCGCGTGATCCCTTGTTTGAGAGATCATCACATTCAGGCAAGATGTCGTTGGTGTAGGGATCGTCAACACTGGGATAATCGACGCTGGAGCAATGTGATGTTTTCAGATGAGTCTAGGTTCACTGTTGATTTTTTGGACAGACGTAGGAGGGTGTGGCGTCGTCGAAACGAGCGCTTCCAAGACGTTAACGTCATCAGACATGATCGATTTGGGGGTGGTTCTGTTATGGTGTGGGGAGGCATCACTGTTGCTGGAAGAACGGCTTTACATGTTGTTGCAGGGCGTGTTACAGGCCAGTACTACCGGGACAACATCTTGGCAGTCCATGTTGTGCCGTTCGCACGACGTCATGGCCGCCGTTTCATCTTCCAGGATGACAACGCAAGATGTCACAGGGCCAGGATCGTTACAGGTTACCTCCAACAACAGAACATCACCACATTACCTTGGCCAGCACTGAGTCCCGACCTCTCCCCCATCGAGCATGTCTGGGACATGCTTGGACAGAGGTTACGTCAACGTCAACAACGTCCTGCCAATGTCCAAGAACTTGCTGCTGCGTTGCAACAGGAATGGGACAATCTGGACCAAAATGACCTTAGACGTCTCATTAGGAGTATACCACGTCGGATCAATGCTTGTTTGGCAAACAGAGGAGGATTTACCCGTTACTGACTTGGTTGTGATGCTGTGGTAATTTTGCTGTTTGACCCCGGGTATCATTTTACCCTTATAATGGTCAGTCTGTGCCTTACTTAGTCTAACGATCATTTGGAATAAATCGATGAATGTGAACTTCATTTCATTTTGTCATTTGTTTCTTCGTCAGTTTCATTAGGTGACTTTAATAACACTTAAAAATCAAATATCCCCTACTTTTTTTGAATAGTATATAAATATATAGTTAAACATAAACATATTCTATTCATCCATAAAATAAATAGTAATATAATATACAAGTCTGGACATTAAACATACATTATGCAAGAGCTAAATCTGCCTATTGCAGGTCTTTCTTTAGGTCTGAAATATTTTCTAAATTATTAATTAGACATTAATTAACTTATCCAGACCATAATCAACTCTCGATGGTATCAGATTTTTCCGATATTAAACAGATTGGAACAGTTCAGCCATATTTTGATTTAAGCTAAAAAATGGAGGAGCGAGACTTAGCTTTAAACAACCAGTACGGTGGTTGAAATTATTGCACACGTCTTGTCAAACCTTCAAAGGCTAATATCTTCGCTCGCAATAAAGTAATTTGAATGAAATTTTCAAATTATTCATTTTACATTAGCTATTTTCGAACTATTATAGCAAGAAATGCTAGCTCTTTATCTAAATCTTGCATAATGTATCCATTTGAATCATTTTTGGACCAATATCTTTTTATAGCAAGAATGGCTAGCTCTTTATCTAAATCTTACATAATGTATTTTTAAGCACCTGTCACAGACTTCGTCGTCCAGTACAAGTTATCACACTATGTATATACTAGTCTGTCACATTGTCCGATATAAATTATAATATACTGGTTGTGAGACAAAGTCTGACAGGTGCCTTATGTCCGCACTTGCTATAATATGTAACAAATTCGATAAAAAACCCCAGTGGTTTCCAGTGAAATTCATCACGTTGTGGTCATCGACACTGAGAAATAGCACTTGACAAAGATGAATGGAGAGAGAGAGAGAGAGAGAGAGAAATGGGGTTTAACGTCCACTCGACACAAACTAGGTCATTTCGGGACTAACACATGCTTTAATTTTATTTCAATCATTTGCTTGCGTGTAGGGGTCTTTAGCAGTGGGAGGAAACCGGAGGACCCGGTTGGACAATGTACCAGAGTAAACCCACGAGGTTGAGAAGACGCCAAATATGCTTACACAAGGGATCGAAACCACAACTGCAAACTGGAGGTGACCTGCCATCTAGAGCTCAAAACTCTAGACCACTAGGCCATCCACCCCCCCACTCCCTAACCCAAGTGGTCTATTTTTAGACTTCGACAAAATCTATATCAACGTTTTACATGTACTTCAAATATTATGTCCCTAAACATCACTTTACTTGTCAGCCATGGGAAACGTCTTTACAAATCCTGAGATTCGTCTCGGTCAACACTGGAATTTGAACACGGAAAATTCTAGTTGAGCGTCCAATGCATACCAATGATAAAAATATATGAACTTAATATGTGATTGGCTAATAATAAAACTACATAAACTATAAACTTACTCTGTGATTTGCCAATGATAAAAATATATGAACTTAGTATGTGATTGCCTAAAAACTATATTAACTATAAACTTACTCGGTGATTGCCCAATGATAAAAATATATGACCTAACAGCACTAAAGAACAGGACGTTAAACGATTTAAATCTTCAGCATTGGCCATCTTTAGCGTTTCTCTGAGGTAGCGTCTGAAAAATAAGAATCAACAGATGTAAGTAATAAAAATAACATAAATTATGTCTTAAATGAGGCAAGTCTCTAAACTTAATATCAATCTGACTAAAATACAGATCTATATTTCGTTTCGTTTTTTTATACTTTCGATGGCCTACACTACATGAAGATCGGACAAGTTGTAGTAGGAGATCGCGTCACAAGGTCATCCAAGCGGATTTTGACTCTATAATATCAGACAATTGATTGCCGTTGATATTTCAAGTGGGTATTTGGAAATACAACTTTTGTTTTATCTACGCTGCAAATGTCTATCCATATTTCTGGGCACCGCACACCAAGAACTCACCACA